ACTGGCACACATATATGTTGTCTCCCAAGTCTATCTTCTGGAAAGTGAACTCATAGTTTATCTCAACGGGGCGATCTATTGTAAGACGAACACAGCAGGAAGCATCGCCAAAGTTGATATAGTTACCAGAGGACGGAGGGCCAACAAACACATATATCCACCGCGTGAATGAAAGGTGAAGACAGTACCTGATTCCATCTTAGTAGCTTTGGATTAACCTTGTTGCTCCCTGGTCGGTGAATTGAAAGGTGCCTTCGTTGTCAACGATCTGTGGTCAAAGAGGAGGCACGAAGTTGCAGTCTGTGGACCCACATCTTGAAGATGAACTAGCAGTCTGTCAAATGCTTGCTGGAAAGCAATCCCAACCATTGCCTGCAAGGGTGACAGCAGGACTCGGCCCCTCCTTGGGTACCGGTACCAGTAAAGGATGTCCTCGAAGCCTATTCCAGACCAAACATCCTTCCCCGTGGCGCTCGCTTGACGCAAGTGATACCAGTAGACTACTAAGGTAAACCAGTTTGATCCAAGTCGAGACTTGCGTTCTGAAACACGTCGTGGATCTTCGACGGCGAAAATTTCAATTAAGTACAATCTCCTACGGCACGAGCCTCGGTTGTTGTATCTTCTTGGGTTCAGGGTTCCTTGTGCAGAAAATAGTTCTAGCAGCAGTCAGTTGCTACCTGATGCCTGCACAAATGCACAAAAGAGTACATGTAGGCTTCATGCTGACTGAATGGAAATCATGTCCTCGGGTGGCTTGAAAGCAGACTGCAAAGAGGTGCTTGCAAAATATGCGGAGAGGCTTTCCCACAGCTCACTAGCGGGATCGCGCTCCTACCTCACCTCAGAAGAGTTCACAGTAGTTTATAAGGTTCTCCAGCGTCATCCCAAAGCGTACTCCAAAATTGGAGGCGGTGTCAAGGCAATCTTTGTTCAGCGCGATCGTTTTGGGTCGCACTGCTTCCATGTTCAGCGCATTGACGGCAGCGAGGAGGACTTCAGCTACAAGAAATGCTTCAGCATGACACAGAGCGAACAAAGACTTCGCAAGGGACACCAGTGGAAGAAGACACCTCCACACTAGGCAGTGGCAGCCATCAATAAAGTGTGTGCACAAAACCTAAGAATCCTGAGAATATAGCCGTGATAATTTGCCTGTCTCGTTGTAAAGTGGACCGGGACAGAAGATGGTACTGGTAATTGGTTGTTCGTGACCGCTGTGGATGGAGATATAATGGAAGTGGAAGTCAACGAGGGGGAGTGTTTGTGCTCATAACATCTGGAATTTGGTGGATGGTAGATTCTGTACCGTATCTGCAATAGCTGTAGCCCTGCGGAGTCAATTTGCACATACAGTTTGCCCAGCGCCACCGATTTGATTGATGTTCCCGGTGCTCTGGCTGTCAATCTGCCTGACATGAATGCCAGCTGATAGCCTACAATTCAGGATGGAGCACTTGGTGTGGTTCGAGCACACTCCTGGTTGGCTACCTGACCCGTGATTTTGGCAGAGTGACTTTGCCCATCTGAAGATTCCACATATAGCTTTATGGAATGCAATGATAGCTAGTTCTGAGGCGTTGGCTAGTACAAATTGGAGAAATCAGAGCTCAACCCTTGAGTTTGAGATGGGGAATGCGCTGAAAATCATCCACCAGGCCAGGGTTGTTCCAATGAGTGATGATGCTGTTTGAACGTTTGCACAGCATTATTAGACTTTACAAGTTGGGCTGGTCCTCCTACATAATAAGCTCTCCTGTCCATCCAGCTCTGCTTTCTTGGAATGGTGCAAAAGCAACCTTTTCCCTATTGTACCAGAAGTGAGGTCCCTTTTAGCCTCGATGACGCTGCCGAAATATTGACTCATTCGACTCAATCGAATCTTGTAAAGCTGTTTTGGAACCGCCAAAAGATCCACTGGACTCTAACGAGAACAAAGTTTGCTGCGCGCGGGAAAGCCAACTGGGATCCAAAGCACACAAGCACCTTTGGCCTGAAACAGCTGGATGCGATCAATTTCGAATGAGTTCGAAGAAGGTGGATCCTGTGCCACGTCGATTTGGCGATGTGGTCGAATCATGAATGGAATTGCACGTCGCGGAGAGGTCGGGGACGATTCTAAATCATTCGATTGAATTCCTGTGCTGCTTCAACAGTGCTTCCGGAATGAAGAAACGACCAGCAAAGCGGGGGAGAAAGACACGAGATCAGGTGTTCCACCGGAGAAGATCTCTCGAGTGTCCTCTACAAAGCTACAGTACGAAGAAGGGATGTGATGGTTGTGGATGCTGGTCCTCTTATCAACCATTGGTTTTCCATTATCTCCGTCTCAGCCAGAATCAAATCGAGCAAACCATTCCCTGCTATGCTACGGTAGCTAGCTGAGAGATCAGTGCTACCCTTCATTCAAGTTGTTATCTGATTTGGTCATTTATTCTTATTCATTTTTGCGGAACATGTGTCAAGTACTTCGACAATCCAGCAATAGCTACGACAATGATGAACTGAGGACAGAAGAGCCCTGTCACTGTTCCTCCTGTGCCACAACAGCACCTCCTCGTGTGGTTTCCGTGGGCGACATTGTCACTATTGATCTGACCATGACACCGGAAAACGGCCTGGTACCAGAGCCTCTCTTTGATCGCAGTGGCAAGATCAGTTTCATTGTGGGATGGGGCAATTATCTTCCAGCCCTTCACGAGTTGGTCCAGAACAAAGCCGTCGGCGATCAAGTCCAACATGTTTCCATTGATGCGGGTTGGGGAAAGCGAAATGAAGATCTCGTCATGGAGCTACCCAAATCCAAACTCAGGAGATTCCTACAAAAGGATGGAAGCCTGCCTCCAGTGGGGACTGTACTCAAGCTTCAAGGAGGAATTCAGTTGGCAGTGCTTCAAGTCAACGAAGAACAACAGACTGTGATTGTAGACGCCAATCCACCTCTCGCAGGCGCCAGCTATGACTGTTCGTTTACCGTTCTCAGCATTGACGATGCACTATCCTTGGAGGATATGCCTGACAACAACAGTAACAAATACCAAATCTCCACTTGGGCATTAGGTTGCTTCTGGGGTGGAGAACTCGCCTTTATGAGGGTTCCTGGAGTTGTTGGAACTCGTGTCGGCTATACTCAGGGAACTGTCAGCAATCCCACCTACGAGGATGTCTGCACCGGAAAGACAAGGCATCGAGAAGCAATCATGGTCGTCTATGATTCAACAGTGGTATCTTACAATCAACTCATGCGGGTAGCTCTGGAGAGACTGGCTGCTACGAATCCCAATCCCAGCAAGAATAGTGGCAGCAACATTCCAGAGGACGACGATGATATGTTTGGCAACCTGTTTGCCGAGGAAGATGATGAACAAGAACAGGACAACAAGACCACCAATCAACAATATCGTCATGGATTCTACTACCACTCCGAAGAGCAACGATCGATTGCCCAACAAGAGTTGAATTCAGGCAACAATATCTACGATATCGAGTTGAAGCAAGCGGCGGTATTCTACCAGGCCGAAGAGACGCATCAGCAGTATCTACTCAAAGGGGGGCAGAGTGCTCGAAAGGGAGCCAAGGAAACCATTCGTTGTTTCGGTTGAAAAATACATCATTTACTTTACATACAATACATGACAATCCCTCCCACAAATCCGAATACATGTAATGCCTTGCACATGCCTCATTAGGCACATGAATTGCATTAAATTTTAACCTACCTAATAAACAATACCTAGATGAAATAAATTTGTATGAAACAGACTTGAATTAGGGAGTACCTGGAAGGCTTTCACAACTACCGGTAGCTAGGTTGTGCCTCCTTGCTAGTAGCTAGATGCGGTGTCGGTAGCGAACTGTTGCGTGAGCGGACACAGTAGTATCACCAGAAGCTCCCCTGTAGAGAACGTGCCTGCACGCACGATCCATCAAAGGATAAACGAGGCAGCACTCTCATTTCTTGCTTGGTACGAATGCGGCGGCAAAAATGGTCAGGTGTGGACCATGCCTAGCTAGTGTGTGCTTTGTCCGCTGATAAAGATTGTGCTGGAGGGTACCATCCTCATGGACACCCTTTTTGGGGGTGCTGTGATTGAATTCATCCTCCGGATGACCTTCTTGTAGATGGTTGTCGTGCTTGGCTCCATCTCTTTTTTATGTTCCGCCATTTGAATGGGTGTCGTCGTCAAGTAGGTGATAGAGGTTCCATCGTCGTTCTCTTCTGGTTGTCTCTTGTTCCACGTTGTCAGTTGAATGAAATCTTGAATTTTGCTTTGTTTTGCCAAATCCTGAATATATAGTTATTGCATTTTCTCTGCTGCATCCGTGATTTGTTGTAGTATATCATCCCATTGTTCCATCCAACTCTTTCCCGACACGAGTTCTGCTGTCAACTGTCCTACCACTGCCAACATGGCAAGACGTGCGTGTTCCAGTTCGACGACTAGGGATCGTTCGTGAACTCCTTTATCGCGGACTCCAAAGTACCCAGTGCCGTAGTCTCCCGGCATGTCTCTGGGATCTCTTTGAAAAAAGATGAATCCTTCCAGAAAGGCACAAGTGACAATCATGTTGATGTAGTCGATTGGCTCGGGAAGGAATAGCAGATTGTCGACAATGGAATCTGTGGGAAACTTATCTGGAATGTCAATGGCAGTCATCACTGTCATGATTTTGGTTCTTTCAGTTTCGGCTTGCAGTAATTGCTGTTGCTGTTGGTCCAGAAGGAGCAGGTTGATTCGTCGTAGCAAGGGTGGAAAGACCAAATGGAGATTGGCCAACATGGAAACTCTACCATGCTTCAATTCGGCTTCTCGTAAACGAGCAAAATTGGAATCGGTGGCAATACCGAGGGGATCAAAGTAAAAGGCTTCTCGTCCTAAAAGCATGGACAGGGTCGGACTGCATCCCAGTTCTTCCGATAGCATCGGTGGCCGAAAGGCGGATACCCATATTGCATGATGAACCAAGAACAGTAGAGACCAGCAGCAACAGCTCTTCAAATTACATGTATTAGCACTCTTGTTATACTTCATCATAGCTCAAACACTGCCTGCCATCGCCATGGATCTCCTGTTCAACTATCTATCACCGGTATCCACCCACCAGTAGCTATCACCAGAAGCCAATGGGAGATCGACATACCGATAGGAGACCGAGCGATGGGATCTTCGTACTAGTACGATGTGGAGTTGGTGTCAACTCTTGGAGCCTGCAAAGCTGTTCCATCACTGACGTACTCTCTCATGTTTTCCGCCTCTACGTTTCGTTTCGTCATTTATTTTTGCTTCCACCACCACCTCAACACGAAACATCCGAACATACAGGACACCAACCATGAAGCATCAAACTGATAGTAACGCACTCCTATTAGGAGCTGTAGCTGGTGCTGCAACGGTGGGAGCCACTTGCATGTGGGCGTATCAAAAATGGACCAAGAATAAGCAAGAAAACAGCTTCAACATTCCTTCCCAACTCCTGAACTCGCCTTACAAAGAACAGTTTCAACTGGCAGTCAAGGTGGCGATACTAGGTGTGTATAATCCAACAACAACACAAAGAACACGGCTACGAATATAATCCGTCAGGCTTGTTGTGATTCTTTCTGAATCATCTTTGCTGATTTCAACTAATTTTCCTTCTCTCTCTTCACTTTTTTGTTTTGGAACGGTACTTAGCTGGAAATAATATTGCACTGTACGGCAATGCCAAAGGAACACAAGCAGAAGCATCCAACGACGACTTGGGCATTGAAACAAAAGCATCTGCGGCGGACTTTTGCACAAAAATTGATGTCTTGAATGAAGAAATTGTCACTGCGGCCATTCAAACAACATTTCCGGATCATGCCATTATTGGAGAAGAAAGCACCGGCACGGGAACGATTCCGCCCTTGACCGACAAACCAACTTGGATTATTGATCCCATTGATGGAACCACCAACTTTGCGTCAGGACTGCCATTGGCGTGTGTCAGTATCGCCTTTTGTGTCAACAAACGACCCGTCATGGGATGCGTCTTTGCGCCAATGACAAACGAACTATACTTGGCCGCAAAAGGATTTGGAGCTTATCGGAATGGAGTACGAATCACACAGAGACAACATGTAGATTTGCAACAAGCTGTGGTTGCTTTCGAATTTGGATATCCACGCAACAAACAAGCCGTTGACAACATGGTGGCTGCTGTGGCACAGTTCATGGAACGAGGGTGTCGAGCCACACGACAGATTGGATCGGGTGTGTTGGATCTCTGCTGGGTGGCCACAGGGCGATTCAGTCTTATTTACTCGGGTATTGCAGGCGAAGGATGGAAGCCATGGGACTATGCAGCCGGGCTCGTCATTGCTCAAGAAGCTGGATGTGCCATGGAGAACTTTCAACCAAATAATTCAGATGGAGTATTTGATCTCTATGGAGACAGCATCATTTGTGCCATTAGCAAAGAACTGCTGGAAGAATGCAGGCAGATTGTCACCAAAATCTAAACTGGGCAATATTGCTTTAGACTAATTGTACTCTTTCGATCTTCTATATTATTGATTTGCGTAGCTAGCTAGCTCTTTTATTGATTATGTTGACTGCTGATGATTCAGCTTTCGGTCGCTGTCGGTGCCGCTGCTGCGACGCTTCTTGTGGGAACCGTTGCGAGTTTCAGAACCTTTCAGGCTGGTCATTTCGACAGCCTTTGGCGTTGTTGATGATCCGCCGGGTCGACTGTCACCCAAGAAACTTTCAGATTTGTGACGGCCAATACTGAACCTTCGACGCATCGAGGAGCCATTCCTCGTATCGATATTCTTCACGTGCTCAACCTGGTCGTCAATATCGGTCAAATGATCCATCTCAGAATCCCCGTTTCTCCCTCCTGGGAGCCACAATCTTCCACTGTTGTAGGCAACCACCATAATGTCCATCGATTGCACCGACACGCCCCACATAAAGACAAAGAGCGAGAAGCAAAACGTGACCAACGCGATTCGATGGACGTAGCGGAGAATCGTAAAGAAGAGAGGCTCGGGTGGACCATAGTAGTTGATCTCGTCGTCCACATCTGTACGAATCGTCCACGACGAGACCAGCCGGCTCTGATCGACACTGTCTTGGTCGTTCAAAAGTGGGGTAAATGCAGACTCGTGCTCTTGATTATCAAGACTTCGTTCCGTCTCTACTGTCCGGACGTCGCCGACCAATTGCTGCATAAAGTTGGGTAGTTCGGGGATACCATAGGCAATCAGACGCGCGTTCTTGGCGAGCTCGAACAGGTCCGAGTCTTTGCACGTGGAAGCTGAGGCTTGACTGCTTCGAAGTGCATCCGTGAGATTCTTCACCATCTCGCCAATGTGGTTGGTTGCACTTTTTTCAGCCGGGGCCTGGTTGGAGCTATCCATGGATTGAATTTTGACGTTGCGATTGAAAACTGAAATCTGAACCACGACTTTGATCCCCAGGGCGTCGTCTTCAGATCCATCGGCATCCATGCTGGAAACAGATTCAATATCGTCACTTGCGAGCCACGGCCTGGCAAGCATCACCTTCACATCGCCGGCCCTGAACAGATCCGAACGGGAAAGGCTGTTGAATGAACGCGTCAATGCCTCTGCGAAGATGTCCTCTTCCCATGGCGACCATTGTGATGGAGTCACGCCACGAAAAACGTAGATTGCGTGCACAATAAACGGGACTCGACACGGGTCAGATCTACCACATGCATCTTTGTGACATGGGCGGCTGGTGCGAGCAACCTCGTGGCATTGTTCGTCAGTGTGGAGCAAGGACTGTACCTTAGTCTGGTTACAGCGATAGTCACAGGCACTCCAAAATGCGTCTTTGCATTTATCTTCCTCGTCGCCAGTTGAACCAGTCGTCTTGGCGGGAGCTACATCCTTGGCACCACGGAGCTCATTGCATTTTAGTTGGCAAGGTCTTAGTTCGGTACATACACCATCACCGTTGCAGGATATCGACGAAGGGCCTAGTTCAGATGTTGGGGATTGCTTTCTTACAGCTTCCAGGCAGGACAATCCACTTTCAATGCCTGGGTGTTCTACAGGCAACGTCCAGGTCTCGGTTCCAAGCAAAGCGACATTCTTCAACACGGGGCAAAGTCAATGAGGTCAACATAGGTTACGCCAAGTACCACTTTCAGCAGCACCAGCGAGATTCTTACCGAGGGATTATTGTCGCAGAGTTGCTCATCAACAGTCTCGATACATCTTTGACTCAGCACGGGTGTCCCCAAGGAGCAGTCATTTGAGTACCTCCCCTCTTCTGATTGCTTTGGAGCATCTGATCTGTCATATGTACATGAGCTCTCTGCAAATCCGATTCTGCCGTTCTCCCAGTCAAAGACAACGTTGTGCCCTTGCATTGTATTCGATCCCAATACTCCTCCACTGGTCTCTGTGAAGTATACTCGACTTGCATACTGCTTTGTTCGGGGTGAAAATTCCATGTAGTTTGTCGCCTAAAATACATCCGCGCAATTCAATGAAGGGTAAGTTGTTTTGTGGGTCTGTCAAAGCTCGTACTATGTTTTGCTCGTTGTGCTTACTCACCGGAATTGCAATGAGTAGATCAGTGGGAGAGGACGGATCCAGCTTTCCAACGTATCCCACGACACTGTCTGGATCTTTCAAGGACGGGTCCATTCGCATATCGTACGCCTGCAGGCAACGAACAATACCAACAAACATACTTGCAGCCATGAGCCTTTCTGCCTTTTGCAGGTTGTTCTGCAAGCAGCAAGAGCCCTTCTACTCACCTGGCACTGAACGAGAATAGTTGGCAGACTACGTAGTTGTTCGTCATTCAAGGTGATTGGTGAATGCGCATAGTCTCTTCCAGTGACCTTTTTCCACATTTTGTTGAAGCTTCTGGCCATGTTTTTGTTCAGGTATGTATCAGTGGTGCCCGAGTCCACAATGACACCTTTGCCACTATTGACCTTGTGAACATTGAGCGGTACTTTGTGAATGCGATAGTCTCCGTGGGAGGGAGTACGAGCACTTTGCCCTCCACCAGATCGAATGTAGATTCCTTTTACGTATACCGTGTAAAAGCCGATTGTTGCCATGTTTTTGGCATAGATCATAGGAGACGTATCGAGACTGTTGGAGACTCCTCCCAACGTCATGCTTCCCGCCGAGACACCTCGTTTACTAGACCCCAGCTCTCGTCTATAGCACAATGCAAAAATGTTGTGTTCTAGCCTGCCCTTGTTGTACATTTGTTTTGTGAGTGTAGTGTCATACATGGACATGCCAATGATTCCATCTGCCAGTTGTGAAATGAAGAGGCTGTTTGTTGTTATTGTGAAGTTTGGTTGTTTGTGTCAATGAAGTTGGTTGTGAGCAAGGCATCATTCAATGGTCAGTGTCAACGTCAACTGCCTACCACGCAGCTCAAACTTTCTTGGTCTTTGACTTACCCATTCAGCGACAACTGACAACCAAACATAAAGTCAATGGCATATTTCTGATGATTGGGATCCACCGCGCCCAGGAAATCATTTCCACCACAATAGAATTTGTCCCGTACTTGATATGCTTCCCAACTACTACCTTCGGTGTAGCTCTGACTGAAAACACATCGATCATCTTGGCAGGTGACTCCTTCCCTACATTCATTACATTTGAGTACATGAAATGTGTTGCTCTTCAATGGATTGTAGTATGGATCGGTATGATGCTGGAGTCCACAATTTCTGCATCCCGTGCAGGGAAATGCCGTGTAGTGACTGCCCGTGTCGACAATGAGTGTTTTTCGTTGTGGCGTGGGAGATCCAACCCATGCATTGGCATAGTGTGTACCATAGCCCTGACTGAGCGCAACTCCCTGATAATTGTTGAATGTTCCTCCCGAATGGGTTGTGGAGGAAGACGAGGATCGGAGGTTTCGTCTTCTTGCAGTACTGTCAATATCATCTATAGTCGTGTTGTCATTGTCGATTCTGGTTGTTTCTGCTTTGATGCTCACGTTGCTGGTGGGCTTGTTGTTGTCCTGTACCGGTATAGATGATAAATTGGTTGTAGTTGTAGATGTATCATTCAGGTTATCCCAATCTTTTCCCTCTGATGCTTGATGCTCATCATCATGTTCTGTGTGATTAGCAAAATGATAGATTCCATCCCAATCTGGCTGCAAATCGAAGCCATTTTCGATTCGGAATTGTCGTTCATGGCGACTCAAATGTCGATATCTATGAAAATCCTGCAGTGATGGATCGTTTTCCTCGTCCAAAGACGGGTCATCCTGCTTGGGTATAGTGGCATAGACAGCATTGGAATTTGGATGGAACCACCAATCTTCATGGTCATTATCATGTTGGTTGTTGATAGAATCTTGAGTAGTGAAGGAGCAGTTGGATCCTGAAGTGTTGGTATTATTAATGATATTATTATTGCACTGCTGCAGCCGTCTTTTTCTCTGTCTCCGCCTTCTTTGGTGGCCTAATACGGAAGTGGGGCGAAGATCAAACGACAGAATCTTTGGTGGCTGATGCTGCTTTTCTTTTTCCTTTTCATTTTCTTGGAGACCAGGTTTCTCTGGATGGAATGAAGCCGACTGAACCAAGTTGTTTTGAGTAGATCTATCTGCTGTTTGACTGGAGGCTGCCTTGAACGCCCCTTCTTGTAAGAGTATCAGCCACAACAAAACTCTTGGACGCCAACCACATCGTCTATGACTCTGGTCTTGGATGTTCCTGCTTGGAATTGTCATCTCTTCACTCACACCCATCAAAAGAACACAGCAAGTTATGATGAAATCATCAGATAGATGTGATAATGCTTCAACACAATTTGCTATGGCTGGCTTTACAAGGATGCTATTTCAGATACATGTACCAGTACCGAGTAGGATGGATAATGTGTCGGGAGTGAAAAGAACAAGCAAGGGGTTGACGGGGATGTGACCGTTGGACTGAGGGAAGGTGTAAAGGGCTAGGGTTACCGTCATGGATCTTTTGTTTCATTTTTTCTTTCAAAAAACGAAGCAAGCAGCGACCATGAGCACAACTTCCACCACGACCAGCAACAGCACCACTCCTTTTGATGTGTTTCTCATCCATACAAGCTATGAGAAACGGGTGGAAGTCAGTGCCATGAAGGACGTCTTGGAAACGGCGGGATTTAGATGCTTTGTCGACCGAGATAACCTACAAGGCAGTCAACCCTACTCGCCACCGGAACAAATGAAACTGGCACTCGAAGAATGCCGATTTGCAGTGGCCACTGTCTCGCAACAGTTCCTAGAACGAAAGGATCCAGTCGAAGAGCTATTCTATGCCTTTCACAGAATGCTCTGGATCAGAAAGCACTATCACTGGCAGTACCTATGGGTCGTCCTGCTAGATTTGAGCGTTGAAGACTACAAACGAGTACAGAACCAGCGACCGAAAAAGCTACCTGAACTATGGTAGCACCTTCAAATGGGAGTCTTTCATCGAATGGGAGGAGCACATACCACTTGGACCAGTTTCTGTCACGAACTCAAGCACAAACTCGTTAGAGCCGACCACGAAGAGGGCGCCAAACAAAACTGGAACTTGTTCCTCAATGATCATGGAAAAAGAAACCTACCCCAGGGATACCCCTCCTCGGCTCTTCTATACGAAAGCAGAAGAAAACGAAACCTCATCGTCACAAGCCAACAGGAGCTGCTCCAACTACTACCCGGAAGCACATGGCGCAAACCAAACGGATTAGAGACGGTCATATTCCAACAAGGCGGCAAGTTCTACAATAACCATGCCGGGTATCCCATCTGGAGAGAAAACTCCTACCAAGTCGTCCCATCGCAATCACTAACAATCACCTTGACGTGGTCCGTCGATGGATTTCAAACTAATATCATCTTTGAAAGCGATTTTGGCACTTTTCAAGAGGAACTCAACCCCTACGATGGGCGCTGGGAACTCGTAGCGCTCAAGCAGCACACGCCGGGATGGGGAATCTGAACTAATTATACACCTACCATATCAAGCAAGCATCATTAAACCTGGGCTTGCATATTGTTTATTTGCACGAATGTTTCCACTAGTATAGACTATAAGAAGTCAGTACTCGGGGGAAGGAGCATCGGTCCACGTCGAAATCGGGCTATTGAATGTACTCATATCCGTACGGTACTTTGGGTGGGTTCATTGGACGTTTACGGATTCACAATGGAAGTCAAGCCCAAGGCATCAACCCACACAAAGGCTCCAGGCATCCTTGTATCCATATCAGGTGAAAGTTCCCACAATATGGTGCCTTTGAAGCCTGGCCCAGGAACCGTTCCATTTGTGATTGATACAGAACTTTGACTGCCGGTGGAGAAACCTGAGCCGCAGGTCAAGTACTGGTGAGACGGGAAGGATGAAACAAGTACTAGTATGTGCTAAGCGTGGGGTGACGTACCATCTTCAGACACGTCGGTGACAAAGAATCGATACAGGGTTTCTGGAAGCAAAGAGCGTTGAGGGTAACTGACCCATCTGCCTTTCTCTGCAACAGTGCTTAGAGAAATAGCAGATTCAACCCAAGTACCATCATGGGTTTCATTGGCTGCTACCCATCGCTCCCATGCCCACAATGTCTCCTTGTCAGGGGAGTCATCGTATTGAACATTAATCACAACTTCATGAGTTGCTTGAGGAGATGGGAATCCACTCCCAAAAGTGCAGGTGCAAGCATCAGTGTTCACACCTGCATCACGTTCAAGGAAATACTGGACTTTTTCAAAAGGGAAGGTCAAACCTTGACAAGATTTGGAGCAGAGCTCAGCAGGCAGTACGCCAGTGAAGTTGTTTCCAAAAATCCTGATTTGTGTACTGTCATCTAGAAGTCCCAATTCGCTTGGGAGGCTGCCCGTCATCCGGTTGCTGGACAACCTCAAGTTTGCAAGAGGAATCAATCCAAGCTCGGAAGGGATCTGACCAGTGATTTGGTTTCTTTCTGTCGAGAAACGTTTCAATGAAGTCATCAGCCCCAATTGTGTTGGTAATCTTCCTGTCAACTGGTTTTCTTCCAGTCTGAGGTCCTGCACAGGGAGCAATCCAAGCTCTGAATGGATGGAGCCTACAAAGTTGTTTTGTTGCAGCCAGAGTACTCTTAAGGATCCCATGAGCCCCAGTTCACTTGGCATCCGTGCAAACTGGTTTCCTGACAAATACATCACCTCCATGAGGGCGAGTTTCCCTAGCTCCGAAGGGATGGTTCCAGAAAAGCTGTTATAATCAGCCCAGAAGCACTTAAGAGAAATCATCAGTCCCAATTCTGATGGCAGGGGCTGAGACATCATGGTATTCTTGTTCACTTGCAGGTCTTGCAATAGTGATAGCCTTCCAAAATCTGTCGGCAGGGCACCTGAAAATTGGTTGTCAAAGATGTAAAGCCTCTGCAATGTGGAATTCAAATTGCCAATTTCAGTTGGTAGCTCTCCGGACAACAAATTCCGTGCAAGCTGTAAATCATTCATGTTAACCATGTTTCCGATTGTTGTAGGGACTGTACCAGTAAATTGGTTTCCCCACAGGTACAGGGTTGTTGCTGCAGAGAGCCCACCAATCTCATTTGGAAGCGTTCCTGACATTTGGTTGCCATTCATGGATCCATAGACCATGGTTGTAAGAAGCCCTAATTCTGATGGGAAGGGGCCTTGGAAAGCATTGTTTTGCAAAAGCAATTCTTTGATAGAGTGAAGCCCTCCCAGTTCAGATGGTAGTGGCCCAGAAATTTGTGTATTCACAATGTCCAGCCTTTCTAAGGAGGAGAGCAAACCAAGCTCAGTAGGAACCCAGCCCGTCAGCCCTGGATCACCAAGCTGCAAACCAGCCAGAGAAGTAAGCAAGCCCATTTCACTGCAAACTTGGCCTTCTAGATGGTTTGTATGGAGAGACAAGAACCGAAGATTGGTCAAGTGTTCAATGTCTCCACATGGGATAGGACCTTGCAAGCCAAGATTGTCCATGTGGAGAAATATCAGTCCCGAGGCAAGGATAATCTCAGTGGGAATAGTTCCTGTTATCAAGTTCTGAGAGAGCCCAAGAATTCGAAGCTCTGGGAGGGCAAAGAGTTCTGAATGGAGTGGGCCCTGCAATTGGTTAAACTGCAGCGTCACTTGAGTGAGGCCCGATAGTGAAGCCAACTCTACAGGAATTGACCCTTGAAGGCCAGTGCTATCCATGTCAAGGGCTTTCAAGTGCTCAAAGTTGCCAATAAGAGGTGAGAGGCTGCCTCCGATCAGGGGATTCCCTGCCAAGAAGATCCCTTGCAAGGCAGTCAGCAAATATAGCTCATCTGAGACAGCAAATGTAGGTGAAGAGGAAGTGTTAGCACCAAACATTTGCCAACGATGACAACAGTGTAGACAAGAGTCCTCTTTCTTACCTGGTAGCTCTCCCTGCAAATTGTTGGCATCTAGCTTGACGAATTGAACAACACGATCCAAGTTGGTTCCATTGCTGAGGGTTGGTGCATTGGCATCTGTTAGGCACGGAGTCCAATTGTATTCCCTCCCTGTCAATGAGAAGGCACCTTTGTGGTAAAACCAGTCACACTCGCTAACATTGTACAGCAGCCAATTGTCATTGTGATACCAGTTGTCTCCACTGGTAGCCCAATACAGAGTCGCCAACACAAATCTCTGAAGAACTCGCCATGAGGAATAGTTTGTCAGCTTGGGATCATCGAGCACCCAAGAGTACGCCCTTGCCTGCGGCGAGTCTGGAATGTTGAGAATGGCTCTCTGTGTGTCAGGAGGTAGCAACTGTAGTACTTCATCTTCCGAAGACAGGGATGGTGCTTCCGTTGGCAGTGAGGTAGTCTGGGTTGCATTACTTTCCATATTAGTAACCTTCTCATTTGCATTGAGTACAACAAGGAAAACAACAGCAAGAAGAATGCCAACGGCAATCAAGAAGCCAACAATCAAGAACAGTGAAGTCTTTCGTTGGCGCTTCTGTCTTGCCCCATCCAGTTCTTCCAAGTCATATTGGGTGGCTTTCGGCAATTCAGCGGGGCTCTCTTCCGCAACTGGGTTGGCAACCACTAGGGCATCATTACTGAGATGTGCACTGGTTACTAGTTCCGCACTTCTGTGCAGCATGGCACTGGATAGTTCAGCGTTGCTTTGAATGGCAACAATTACGTCGTCGACATCAATTTCTTGTGGAATGGACTCGACTGGAGGCTGTGCCCCCACTTCCAAATCCAGAGTGGCTTCACTGCCGCTGGCTACAGCAGCGAGAACGCTATAGTCGACACTCGATGTTCGTCGCATTAACTCGCCAGGAGCACCCATGTATGCCCCCGGACCAGGTGGCTCCTGGCGCTGTGGTGTGCGTCGGCGGGGATCTGTGGTGCTGCTGCCACTGTGAACAGTTCGTGCTGCTTCTTGCAAGTCCGCTTGTGGCAAAGTGGCTCTTCCTTGTACAGTCTTGAGAATTTCTCGGTTGGTAGAACTCTCAATGGTTATAGAGTTTGCCACTGGTTGGCGTCTTCTGGCTACATTGGCCCCATGTCGGCTACCGGTAGAAAAGTCGCTGGAAGCGCGAGATGGTCGGGGTGTTGGTAGCGGTAGTTTCTCTGACTGTCGACGAGATTCTGCTGCGTATTGTGCCGCTTCCAGTTCTGGTCGCTTGGTTAGAACATCTCGAAGAAAAGGTTCATTTGCCACATCGTCTTGACCATCACCAAAATTTTCGGTCGAGGACTGCTCCCACTGCGATTCATCAGTCGCTATGCCAACACATTTTTTAGAGGAGATGCTTTTGTCGCTGCTGCCTTTCTTCATCGTCGGCTTTGAAACTGTACTCAGTAGTGGAAAAGCGGGTTGTGGTAGGGGCCGTCGACTTCTTTGGTTGGTGGTATTATGGTATTATTGTTGTTGTGTCACCTTTCCACCGAAGACCGTAGCATGCACCTGGGGTGATGTTGGATATTGGAGTGTGAGATTGTGGTTGTGCGTTTTTGGTGCTTGCCAAAAAGATGAGGGTGATTGGGAGGGACACCAAAACTTAAAGGGAGCTTGATCTTGGACAGCTTTGTTCCTTGACTCGCCAAGAAAAGAAAGTGAAGGCTTATGGAGGAAGCTATGCGTTCTCATGTGCCTATTGCCCTTTAATTAAAATAGCGACAATCAATTCTGTTTTTACTGGTTTTCAGCGTGTTAGCAGCTACATGTAGCCTTTAATTCTCTTTGAGTCCAAAAGGGCACCGTAATCCTGTTTTTAGCTCGTACCGCTAGCCCTTTCAAAGTCATAAATAATTTTTAAATTCTCATCGTCGACGACGTCGAATCCTGCAATCCTGTTTTTCTGTTTTTCTAGTTAAAGCTCGAAAGCTCGTGGACCTTTTGGTATGTCACGTGTGAAAGCGCACTTCCCTTAAGCATGGCCTTGACCTAGCCACACCAGTACCGGCATTCTATAAACACCTTGTACCCCAATCACCTCCAAGCCTCCAAGACGATCCCGAAACGGGGCTTTTTTAAAAGAATTACCGAAACGAGTTTCACGGAAATTGACTAAAATTCCGTGAAACTAACCATTATTTCCGTGAAATTAGAGAGTTGTCTAGCTGGCTACGGATCCGGTAGAGCTAGCTAGCTAGCTAGGGTCGAGTCGAGTCAACCAGCAGCTCCGTGCTTCCATAGGCACATAGCTGGCAGATCCTGCCACATTGGACGGGTTGTCTTGCAGAGCTCCAGGTGTGTCATGGTTCCAATGGCCATTGTTCTTGGAAGATGTTCTGATCGCTTCCAATGCGGCCGCAACCGCCGCAGCCTTTGCAGGTTGAATAAACAGTCCTCGGCAACGTGGGAAATCACTGGATATGCATTCTGTACAACGGACTGAAGCAATTGTTGTGATTTCTTGAATGGTACTCCACAGACATCGGACCCTTTGGTCGACCTGGCAAGACCCCACATGTCCAGCAAACAAGCTAGAATGGGACATCTTTATAGTCTTCCGGTTTGGGTATTTCTGTTTTCGGTCGGGGTGCCCACTTTCTGGATCGGCTAGGTCTTGTTTTGGTCTGTGGGGCAAGTTTGATCCCTTTTTGCTCTTGCAGTCTCCTCTCAAAACGGTATCGGAGCTCTTTCAAGCCCATTTCTCCAAAGAACTCCGAAAGCTCCTCTGGATTCATCAATTCCATTCTCAAGTCGGAAACCGTGTCAATCCCCTCTGGAAAGGTCATTTGCTCCATGGGGACATTCCTTTCCAGTTCGACCAAGACTCTTGACAACCGTGCCTGGTCTGCATTGGCTTGAAGCTTTTCCCGCCGACCCTTTTGTTTCACATCCTCCGCGTTCTTCAACAAATTTTCGAGTGATCCATAGGAACCGATAAGTTCCGCGGCAGTCTTGGGACCAATTCCGGGAACACCAGGCACATTGTCCGCGGAATCTCCCGCCAATGCCAATACATCTCCAAGCTTGTCGGCTGGGACTCCCCATTTTTCAATGACATCATCGTGAGTCACTCTGTTCATGGTCATGGGATCAATCATTTGCACACTGGGAGCCGCAGCGTCATCAGCAGTTGTAACGAGCTGCATCAAATCCTTGTCACCGCTCAAGATGTTGCAATCAATTCCTTCCTCGACCGCCATTCGACTGAGGGTAGCAATGACATCATCGGCCTCGTAAGTTGGCGCCTCGATCTGTACAATCCCATAGGCCTTTGCCGCTTGTCGAATCAATGCAAATTGTGGAATTAAATCGACGGGAGCTTCGGGTCTGTTTGCCTTGTAGAGTTCGTAAATTCCATGTCTAAATGTCTTTCCAGGTGCATCAAAGACCAGCACAATTCTGGGTTGTTTGCCCTCCATCATCACGTTCAAGACTAGTTTGTTGAGCATGTTGCAAAAGCCCAGGAGAGCTCCAATGGGCATTCCATCGGCTCGATGGAGCGGAGGGAATGCAAAGCTGTATACAGTGGATGTCAATAAAGATCAATAGCAGTTAGAAGTGATGTGTGACGATTTCTCGGAGAAGGACGATCAAAGAGCATACTCACTAGGCTCGAAAGATGTATGCTGAAGCATCGACAAGAAGCAAAGGGTCAGCTGCTGTTCGAAGTGCTGCTCCAGTAGCAGGAGCGTTTGTTGGAACGGCATCCTTGACTGGTTGTTGCTGTTGTTGTTTTGTTGGTTTGACTATGGTATAAACACTCTTGGCGATGGTTCCGCTTTCCTTTTTTGCTTGTCGCTTTTTGAATTTGGTAATTTCTCGGTTTATCTGTCGGTACTGTAGAATCCAATTGGCCAATTCCTTTTTCTGTCCCGACCATGCTAATGCTTCGAGTACATCCTTGTTGGTGGATTCTCCGGGCACGCCAAAGAGTGCTTCCGAGACTTGTCGTGGACTGTTTGGATTGAATTTTGGGTTGTTGGTTTCTTGTACAATTTTCTGCAGTACAACCTCCAACTGTCCCTGCATACGATCTGCGTCCGTGGATACGCTCATACCACGAGATGCTCGTTGTTGTTGCTGTTGTCGCTGAGTATCTTCCGGTTGTGATGATGATGATGATGATGGTGATGATGCAAGTGGATTGGGCAATGCTTCATCTTGGGCCACCTGAACTTTTTCCACAGCTTCTTTACTCGCGGTCGGTTCTGCTGTCGGTGCCTGTGTCGTTTCAGCTGGTTTTGGTGATTGTGTTGTTTGTGAGTTGACGGCATCAACATCCTGTTGCAGTGGAACAAATGTGGCTTTCTTTTTATTTTCTTTGCCATTATTGTTGTTGATTGGAACAAACGACGATTGCATTTGTTTTCCTCCTTGGATTTCCCATCCAGCTCCATGAATATTCTGTTCCATCTCCATGTCATTGTCTTTGCTGTTGTTGTTGAATGGGGTGAATTCTCTATTGTCAGATTGTTTGAATTGCTGCTGTTCAATCTTATCCCATTCATCATAGTCATCTTGTGATGGTACATAATCATAGGCACCAAATGCCTGATCGTCTTGAAAGGCGTCAAAAGTCCCTGGAGAATTATTATTATGATTGCTGGTAGCACCCAGATGCGTCCTTTCGCTAACAAGAGAAGCTCTGTATCCAAATCCGTATTGCAGTTCGGTTGCCACGGAACTGCTGCCTCTGGAGGATGGCACCGATCCCAATGACAGTAAGTGACGGCGAGCTGTCAAGGAAAAGGATGATGCCCTCTTGGCCAAAAGGGAAGTTAGCATGATCTGAAGAAGGAAAGTCAAAGAGAATATCTTGTCCGGGAAAGGCATTGCTTGCAAGAAATCGTAGCAAGGATAAAGTAGCTCCAGACAAACAAAGAGGTGTTGTACAAGTATTAGTATGGTAGCGGGAGTTGTGCTATGATCGAAGTTGTCGTGTTGTCATTGCCAATCAACCACAACAAAAGCGCGCGCAAAATCTTTCATCTCTGGGTAAGATCGAATCACGGATCCATCAAAACAAGACTGAAACGTGGCAGATCCTTCCTTTGGATCTTCGACCCATTTGCTTCTTCTTCGTTGCTGAGTTGATCGACCATGATGTAAAGATCTCTCGACCTTTCTTCTTTGGGCCACAATCCACAATAACCGAGGCAACGAAACGCTTATAACTCCACCATGAAGGTCCCATCAGTACATGTATGTATCCTGGCTCTTGTTGCTACGCTGTGTAGCTTTTCATCCGTTCAATCCTTTACCAGTCATCATAGTATTCGTCCCTACGGAACCACTTCCTTGAAAGCATCGACGGCCAACAGCGACGCCACTACAACGACGGAAGGAGACAAAACTTCCAGTGGACTCTTGAAACGAGATCGCTACGTCGCTACCAACCGATTTGCGGTCCGTCAAGGCAAGGCTGCCAAATTCGAGAAACGCTGGGCCACACGAAAAAGCAAATTGGCAACGCTCGATGGATTCAAGTACTTTCACTTGATGCGACGTGTCACTCTCAATAACGACGATGGCAGTAATGTCTACGACGAAGGAGATGGCGACGACACGGCACATGGCAACTATGTCAGTTTCACCATTTGGAGCAAAAAGTCACACTTTTCAGCCTGGAGATCGGGAGAAGCCTTCAAGGAAGCTCATGGAGGAACTTCCATTGGCGCATTTGTCTCCACCATGGTCAAGAGTGCCATGGTACTACGAGGTGCTCCTCGACCGGCTTTCTACGATGGACTCTTGATCCAATCCACAATACCAGACTCGCAAGGAGAAGTTGTTGACGGATGGAGAAATGTCAATGCCGATGGAGTCAACACGCTTCCCACAGAATGCTTTGTGGCGTGCAATCAGTTCTTTGTACCACCCGAAAATGCCGCCGCTTTTGAACAACGATGGAAAAATAGAGAATCCAAACTGCAAGAATGCGATGGATTCGTTGCTTTTACCATGATGCGCAGAGATGCATCTGCCAAGGGACACGGAGTCGTTCCCCTTTCCAGTGGAGAACCCAGTTACACATCCTGCACCATCTGGAGAGATCGGGCGGCATTTGACAATTGGAGAAAGGGATCCGCCTTTCAAAAGGTTCACGGTGGTGGCGATGCCAACAGCAAGAAATCAGAGGAAGAAGCCAAGCCAGCGACACCGCCACAGCCACTCTGGAGCCAGCCACCACAACCAGTCTTTTACGAAGGCACGTTAGTGATCACTGGTGAAGATGGTGCTTGATTAGGCACTCGTGTAGGAAAAGACAGGGAACTGGTCTTGTTGTTGATGATGTTAGGACATCTTTGTTTGATTCGATTCGAATTCGTGCTTGTCAATTAATTTAACATACATCACTTGCTTTAGGTTACAGGTAGATCTTGGCAATCATTAGCTAGCTATAAAAGTACTGGCTACTAGTGATCAATCTTGAGATGAGTCGAGTCAACTTATCTGAGCCTAAGATTCTGATAGGGTTGAGCAGCCATGTTGGCTGAGGGAAATCATGAGGCTTACCCTTCATCTTCGGACTAAAACCGTATTGCCATAATTCTTGTAATTACGATTGCTTTGTGGTAGGTTGAGGCTGTCTGTGCTGAGGTGAAATGTGCCTTGGTGGGGCAAGACTGGGAGCTGGAGCAGGTGATGATGGAAGAGGTGAGGACGGAGTAGGCTCCCTTGTTTGGCCAGTTGCTGGCTTCCTTGTTTGATCCAAAGGAGTTTGAAAGTGTCGGTCATTCTTAGCTTCCTTGTCTTGCATGTCCCGTGACACTGTTCTCCCTCGTTTCACCTGAGCAGAAGATGGCCCAGCTTGCGACTCTTCAGGTTTGTACCATTCCTGAGCTAAAGGAGGAACAGGTTGGGATCCATTGGGACTTCAAAGTGCTGAAAAATGCACTTATCATCCCATTGGGGTGGTTGAGCATCAGCCCGGGACTACACAGTCTCAAACCAATCATCATAAACAAGGTGAAACTGTGGTGATATGTAACCAGGGTGCAAGTTGCACACCATACCAATGAACTGGGGACGCACCAACATGAATGAGGCTGCCATTGGGGGATTTGGGCACCAACTTGACTCAATCGTGGCCCCAACACATACACAGGGCATCCCCAAACATGCACATTGCGCAAGGCAGAGTGGTCACTCATAGTCTTGCAGATTTCAGCTGGAGAGATGCCACTGTCAGGATTTGGTGCGGGATTGTAGAGATAGATGGCATAGTCAAGTGCCAAAGGCCACAAAGTTTTATCATCAATCTCGGGCCAGTGGATAGCTGCGTGTAACATCATTGTCCTTGCTTTGGTGACAGCTATATTGCTGATGCCCTCAGCAGCTATGTTTTGCCGCTTGACACCAACACCACTGAACCGAATGTTTTTATGGTTGTTCGCAATCTCTTTCAGCAAATCTTTACCTGTAAACACCCCATTGTCCATGGCAAAGCTGCTCCTCGATTTGGCCCTTGAGCTGCTGGAATGAATCGAATCGAATCAAATCAACCCCAATCAGATACGGTGGTAGACAACCGGCCCGGTATCTAATTGTAGCAAAAAGTGTGTGGGACTCCCTGCAGCTCGAAGAAGCTAATCGAATCATCAATCAGCCGCTTGACCTAACTCAAAATAAGAGCATACAAGAAGGCAAAACAGTGGCGCCCACCACTGAGGTCTGAAGGGGGGAAACATGTAACGGTACAAAGCGTGGTGTTTGGTGGGAAAGGTCCATCTAAGCTTAGTTTCTATTTCAACCGATACTCATGAGACCCCACCAAAGAAAGGATGGCGAAGGTTTGGCATCATGACAAAAACGTAATGCGAAAATAAAGCATAGAGAACCGCATCATCGAATGTCTATTCTCTAGTAGTTTCAACGTAGCTGCAAGTGTAGGTTGATCAATTTACATTCCGTTCTTGCGCTGGATCCAGCACGCGACGTGAGTTCCCCAGGCAAGAGGACCTCCGAAACTTCCGAGGACATAGTACCATTTAACCCAGGCTCCAGATTCAATGGCGCCGGGTTCTTGCACAAGAAGTTGGCTTTGGTAGACAGAGACGACGCACGAGGCAAGGAAGACCAAGGAGATCATTCCCAAAAGAGCAGAGGGCATCTTGGACATGACAGGTCCAAGAACCTTGGAAGGAGGGTATTCGTCCTCCCAGTACATATCTTCAGCCATGTTCAAGGCAACACTGGACTCCATGGTGGGAGCAAAGGTTGCCCGAGTTGGGGTGTTGACCTGAGAGACAGGCACAAAGGCGGACGTCATAGCGACGAACACCGAAAGGATAACGAAACTCAACTTGGCCATGATGAAACTGTACTACAAGACGCGAAAGCAGGAACTGAAAGTGAGGAATAAATTCAGCATCTTGTCGTCGGTCCCAACCTCAAAAGCACATCGCAGCACTCACCTTGATATTCGAATGGAAATGGCGTTCACCGAGAGGACAGCTGTAGCCGCTGAAGGCGTCGACCACGCACTGAAAGAAAGATGGCTTGTTGAAGAGAATCATAGATCGCAGCAGAAGGATCGCGTGACTGATAAACTCGTGACACACACAAGGTCGCGCCCTGCCCCCAATTCTTGCAAGATAGTCTATCACGGGCGTACAGGTACTAGTACCGTAACTCCGGTTGTTAGACTCGCCAGCTAGCTAGCTAGCTAGCTAGCTAGATGATACTGAAAAGGGAGGAGCTAGAGTAGGGAAGTCATCTATGGAAGCCGGCAGAGGACAGGCTTAGGCAAAGAAGAGGTGGAATGTGGGACTAGGTTCCGTGGGATCAGGGGCCACAAATTGCGGACCAACACAGGGCCAAGGGTCTTGACTTTGCGGGAAACACAGAGACAAATATGGGTGGCTAGACCATACTACATGTAGCTCTTCGTGAAGCCTAGTAGATTATTTCTTTATAGCATCAGTACCAGGCCGTCGTCCCAGCAGCTCTTCCAGCATAAGATTTGGATCTCTTGCACCTCCATGAATGAGCATTGTCTTCCAAATGCGTTCTCCTGCTTCTCGGCTCATACTGTCCCCTTCAAAGCAATGTTTCCAAATATCCCCCGCAAAGACTTGCGAATACAAGTAGCCATAATAGGATGCTCCGTAGGTCACAAGATGCCCAAACCGACTGTGCCAATGTGTTCCCTCGGCGTACGGGACTCCGTGTTCTCGATGAAGACCGGCAAAGATTTCGGTGGTGTCCGACACGGCGGGCGACTTGGACAAGTCGCCATCTCTAGGAACCGAAGACCCAAAAATTTGCTGGTCAAATAGAGCATAGAGAATCTGGTTCTGTCTTTCAATGGCATAAAAGGCATTCCGTGATTGTTGTAACCGCGTCACGAGCTCCTCTGGAATGGGTTCACCCGTGTGATGATGACGACCCAATACTTGCAGGAATTCTTTATCCCACACAAAATGCTCTAGCCAATGACTGGGCGTTTCGACAAAGTCCATGGGAGCGCGTGTACCGGACATGTGTTGGAACTTGGTCCGTGACAGCATGCTGTGTAGCATGTGCCCAAGTTCGTGGTAGATTGTCTCCACTTCGGAGTGTGTCAAGAGCGACGAACCGCCACTCGCGTGGTTGTAGTTGGCCAAATTGCACACCAAGGCAATGATTGGTTTTTGGAAGACCGCTTCGGCGGAAGAGCTGCCTGCATTATTGTATGGGCTTTCGAGCATACAACCACATCGAACGGTGAAATGGGCGGCATGTCCGTACTTGCCCTGTCGTTTTTGCAGATCCAGATAGATTGTTCCCAGCGAAGCGCCGTGTTCATCGACAAAATCCAGGCGCCTCAGTGCCGTCTTCTGCTGATTGTTGGTCGAGGTCGAATGGTCCAGTATATCCCAGGCTTCGTCAGGATCCATTTCTCGTTCCATCATTTGAATGCCAAAGAGTCGTTGTACTAGTATTTTGATTCCCTCAATGCAATTGTCCAGTGTCAAATAGGCAGAAATGGCTCCCGTGTCAAACCCAGTGTGTGCCTTGATGACGGAAGTGTAAAAGGAAACATCCCATGGTTCGACAATATTGCTGGTTTTCTCCACTCGGAGTTTGGCATGGGCAAGTTGTTCCATTTCTTTTTTATACGCGGTCTGATTGGCTTGTAGCAGGTTGTGCAAGAACGCGTTGACTTGCTCCTGACTGCCCGCCATTTTGTCGCGGAGCAACCGATCGGCGTAGGATTGGAATCCCAACTTGGTGGATACTTCATGTCGAAGTTGAATCAAGGCATCCAATACAGGCAAGTTTTCGGAACAGGCCGTCATGGATTCCATGTATACCTGTCTTCGCACTTGTGGATTGGGGGAATACTTTTGCAAACTGTGTGCAATATCAGAATCTGTGGACAGGTTCAGCATGTCTTGTTCTGGCGCAAATCCATGTGCTGCCAGATACTTGGATGGTATGATATCTTCCACGGCGGAGCGTTCCACGTCGAATTGTTTCTTCTTGGTGACAATATTCTGTGAAAACATGGTTTCAAGTTGTGTGACGTGCATTTGCAAGTGCTGGACTTCCTCTCGTTTGTCGTCTGGGAGATGAATTCCATCACGTTCAAACTCTGCTTGCAAGAGTCTACAAAAGCGCACTTCTTCTTCGGTCAGTGCCGGTTGAATTTGGTTTTGGTCTTGTGCCGTTGTGACCTTGAGGAGTGTTTGGTAGAGACTGGTATCGGCATTGAGTTCACCAATGTAGGAACTGAGAGTGGCAAATGCTCGATCGGCGCTCTCTCTCCATTCTGGCGAGGCATGCACTGATCGACAGAGCTCAGCGGCGTCAATGACATTGCAAACAGTCTTGCTGATGTGATCCAATTGAAACAGGTACTCCTGTGCTTGATAGGGTTGGGTTACAGTAACATCCAGCTGGGATCGCAAATCTTGTCTAACACTGTTGCAGGTATCAATGGCTTCTCCTGCCAGCTTCATAAAATCAGCAGGCCGTTGGAGTTCAGGGATGGAAAACAGACCTGTCGAATGGAAGGGGGGACCAGTGGCTCCACTCGAAGTATAGTAGGATTGCCATGATGATCTACCGGTACCAGGACAACCAAAGCTTGTCGGAAGATCTCTGGATTGCAACAGCCTCTGACAAGCAATCTGACATGCTCTTCTACGAGTAGAGAGTCTGCTAAGCGCCGCAAACATCGTCATGGGCACTACAGCTAGCTAGCAAATAGACCAGAAGAACTTTTGGAGACGAAGGATGATGATGAGGTTGTGTGGTTGTTGGCATGTTGGCATGCCGTCATGTGTCCGTCTAATAAATAAATAAATAAGTCTGCCTGGAACAGAACACAGAAAGGATCTTTTGGGGACTTCGGATCTTCGGACCCCTCTTGGAAGTCGAATTGGGAATGGATCGAATTCCACTTTTGAATTATCAATCAGGCAACCAGCCCCCTGTACATGACATGACAGAGCAGAGGCTCCTGGCTAGAGCTATCTACGGCTTGGTGCAGATAGTGGGCATCCCTCAGCCCTCAATGCATGCCCAATGGATAGCACTAGGATTGGAAGCAGTAGTGGGTGAGGTGGTACCGTATGACACCACACAGAACTATTGCATTCCAAAATTCATGCACTAATCCACCAGGGAGGGATGGCTGGGCTTCATATCACTATCTGCAGTGGCAACAAGTTTAGCCAAGACCAAATAAATAATGTGAGCCTGCATGGATATAATATAATCTACATTACTCTTGTTTTTTTAAAAAGTCATGGGGATAGAAGGAACAAAGCCTAAATCTAGAGGCGACATCTTCCTTGCTTTGCCACCACACATGAAGTTTAACATTGGCAACTCCCATTTGTGATCCTTCTTCCCTACATGAACTCCAATCTGGCGGCTTGCACTTTACTACAGTACACTTGTACGTAGTGCATGGATGTGGCTTTGGTGCCCTTTCTGTACCGGTGTTTGGCAGCTCTAGTGGCTCAATGAGATCTCTGTCACATATTTCATAGCAAGTATCCAAACGGTTTGATTTGGGGGCACGAACACCTGGGGTTGAATAGCGCACGAAAACTAGCTTTTATGCGGTGGTGCCGTCCCCTCAATCGAATCCTGCCCCAATTTCGGGCATCTCTGCCGATGAGGGAGCGATGCCAATGTCTCGACGGTCATCATCGCAAATCAAAAAGGATCGGAAACAATCGAGCAATCTTCTCGGCTGACCCCACGAAACCACAAACTATCAGCTCGGCAGTCATTGCTTCATCAGCATTCAGGTTGTGGACTTTGTTCCTCTGGTTTTTAGTTGTTTTATTAGTCTTTCCTTTAGTTTTAGCAATCATGGCCGACGCAGATACTTGGGATAAGGCCAAGCTTATGGGCACCGGAGAGGAGGGCAAGGGTGCTGACATGGTCAAAGACAACCCTATGTTGTGGGGTGTGCCAGGGTACTTGACCGAGGAGGATGCTGACACATATGTACGTTCATGGTATCGTATCGTATCGGTTTGGTCTGTTGGTTGGCGTTTCTGTGGGTATCTTTCTGGCTGGCTGGCATTATCTCACACTTTTCCTTTTTTTGGGTATCTCTCCACAGTTCAAATTCAAGGAAGACGTCAACAGCCGAGATGCCGAACTCAGGAAGACTGTGTACTCTTTTGGAGAAGTCGAGGGGGAAGTCTGGTGTCTTACCCGTTGGCTTCGTGCTCGAAAGTTTGACTTGCCAGAGACCATCAAAATGATTGAGGAAGCTACAGAATGCCACAAAGTTCCTCGGGAGAATGACTATTATTCCGACCCCGCCAAGGCTCTGGGATGTGACGTTGCACTCTACTTTGCCAATTATCCTCAATTGTATACGGGAAAGTCAAAGATTGGTGCTCCCATCTTCATCTCCAAGCCGGGTGTCTTGAACACTGATGCCATTGAATGTATCACCACTTTGGACGGTATCCTCAAGTTCCATTGGTGGGTGGAAATGCACGAGTTTGGAAACCTTTTGCGGAACGAAAAGGAGAAGAACGACGATTTCAAACTGTAAGTGGTGGTTGTTTCTCTTCTTTTCCCCTGTTCAAAATGATTCGTATGCTCACTGTTGATGATACCGTCGTGTCACTCTTTCGGTTTTTCGAACCAGTTTCCAATGTTTTTCAATTCTCGATTTGGAGGGCCTGACCACTTCCCAATTGACCAGCAGGGCGTTGGCAATCATCAAGGAGCAAGCTGCAGTTGATTCCCTATGCTTTCCCGAGACAATGTCCCGGATGTTCATCATCAACAGTCCGCTCTTCTTCTCCGCCAGTTGGAGACTGATCAAGGGTTGGCTGGACCCTCGTACAGCAAGCAAGATCGACGTCGTCTCTAGCAAAGATGCCGCCAAGAAAAAACTCTTGGAATTGATTGACGAGGATCAACTGCCTGTTGATTATGGTGGCACTGGCCCTGACACCAAGGAAACATTGAGATCTGAAATCAAGGGAGATGCGATTAAGATACACTCGGAAATGATGTACCTGCGGTAAGATTTTGCTGTAGCGATAAAATACCTTTTCGAAGGTATCTTGGTGGTACAATGATCTTTCAGAAGTTTTCCTCACACCTTTGCGTCCACTCTGCGTTCCTATTTGACCCGCAGTGGTAGCGGATCTTTCTCGATCGAAGTTTCCCAGGGGGAATATGTGGAAGTCGAGGTCTGGACTCGATCCACGGCCGGCGGTGGCTTCTCTGTCGTCGACCACAACGACAAGAAAAACATCATTGTTGATAAAATGGAGGTCAAGCATGAGGGCACTGGTGATGAAAAGGAAAGCCCCACTCGTGTTGTCATGACGAAAACTCGCCTTGCTGGACCAATGCACCTCAGAGTGAAGGCAGAATCGAATGCAGGCCGTTTCTCGTGCCACAACTACCTACTCGCCTTCATATTCTTTGATAAACCAAACTAGACAACTAACTGTGGGCCACAAAATCCACAAAAAGGTCCACCACACGAAGATTCAGAAGAGTTTGGAGACACCGATCACCGAAGACTAGGATAGTTGATGATTATGATGTTGACACCGGCAATAGCTTATACTTACTTGTGAGCATAACTTTAGTCTACAGGAGAGATCTAAACATCAATAGAAGCAGCTTTCCGCACTCCAGTTGTACTCTCAGCCCAAGTAGCTCGCCATCCTTGAAGCATGTTCTCGGTTCGTTCAAGGGCTGTGGACTTGAATGGGCGCTTTCTTTGGCTAGCATCACAGTGCTTCGCCAACACTTGATCCAGACGCAAACCCGGCACTGTGGATCTTTCCTGCGCGGACGCCACTGCCTTCTCGTCGGTCGGCGCAATGACCATCATTTCCTCTTCCATGCTGTCGACCAATTCGTACACGCTCCTCTCTTCTAGAGGTTGGACAAGGTGATAGATATCGCCCACAACCAGCTTCGTGATCTGAATATTTCGAATTCGCTTCTGCAGGACCAAGATGAAATCATGTGGATCGCTCGAAGAACATCCAGCGGCAATGGCCATCATCTCCTGGACGGTCTCGAGAATCTCGAACTCTCGATCAATGACACGTTTCAGAGAATTCATGTTCTTAGCAAGTGAGTCAAAATAGTCCTTGATGGTGCTGATGTCACCAGACACGCGATCCAGTGCCTTTTTGTTGTCGGTGAAGTACGATTGCTTGTTGCTTTGATGCAGCGAAGCCTTCCCCAGGAGCGTACGGATGTAGAAGACGACAGACGCAGAGACGAGTGCTTCCACTACCTTTTGGACCATGAATTCATCAAGGAAGGCTTCGAGATCTTCCATAAAATCCTCCAGCGTGCGAACCAAGGTCCACGCAAGTTGATTGTGTGTGAGATCGTCCAACCAATCCGAACCGAACAGATCAGCTGCAATTGCCTCCTCAATGGGCTGGAAAATGTAAACGTGAGTCTTCTGTCCAGCATACACCGCATCCGCGCTGTAGACACCAATGAGAGCTGCTGATTGTTCCTCGAGGTGCTCCATGACAGCATCTGTAAGCCTGGTTTCGTTCCTGATCTCCGACACAACACTGTCACACTGTTCACTTAGGCGTAGGAAATCATTGGATGCCGCACAACAAGACTCGAAGTCTTTCAGGAACTTGTCTCGTTGCCGCATCTGAACGTCGTGCAGGTTCTTCAAGATGACACCCACAGCTTGGACCAGAGCCTCGGATCGTTTCGTAAGACGTTCTCGGATCGTTCGAAGTTGAATTCCCGCAAGAGAAAAGATATCCTCGCAAAGTGATGTGAAGATTCGCCCGTCGATAGTCTTTGTCTCCGAGTGGTCACCGCTGCAACGAATCGAGTCCGATACAAGCGCCGAACGAACATGTTAGAATAAACCCAACAAATGTACGGCTTGCTAAGGCAGTTGCAATGTCGCCGGCAGCACGGATGAGGTACTTACGCATAGATCTTCTCAACCCATTCAATTGTTTGCTCCTTTGTTCGATACAGGAACTCGTCCTTGGCCGAGTCGTGCACCACCCACAGGGTATTGTTCACCCATGCCAGACTATCCTTTGCCGTCTGCATGTCCACAGCCTTGCTGCCCTCTGTCAACAGATTTGGCCTACGATCAAAGTAAGTGTTTTCCGTAATGATATTTCCAATGTCAGGAAATGTGTCCTCGACAATTTCACGGAAACTCTCGACGAACGCCACGAGATCGAGTAGCTGGGTCACCGTTAGATCCGAAAGCTTGTGTCCTTCTGTGCCTCCGATTTGTTGCAGAATTTGCGTCGAGCACAAGTGAGCCACCGACGTTGTCCAGATGGTTTCAATGGCCCAATTGGGAGGAAAGCAGGGAGCCATTTGATGTTTCACAAACCCAATCTCGGACGTGAGTTCACCGGCAGCTCTGAGCACAGCTGTGAATTGTTGGTTGGTCGTTTCTTCTTCTTCTGCAATATCCGCCGCTTGCATGGTGAGATCCTTGTAAACGTCCAAGCCTCTAATCTCCATATCCTTGTAAAGTGATGACAAAGCGGCGGATCTCATGTCTGTGAATCTGAGATTTTGAATACTTCCGGCTTCGACTCCATGCACTGATTTGTATTCTTCTGCGGCCATTTCGTATACCTCCACAGCTTCCACGAGCGCGACCATTCCAGCAGGATTGTTGAGGGAGAGATCGAAAGCAGATCCAATTCCACTGAGTAACCTTATTCTGATTTCATCCCCCAACTCCCACACATTCTTGACGTGTTCCTTCAAGAATCGATCGACTTCGGCACTATTGTGCGAGAGTCCCATGTCTAAGAATGCCTGTCGTCCAAATGCATTTCCACCTCGAATACTGGGTGGACCCGATTTGAACTCTCCTTCACCCTGCAGACGCTGTTTCATCCCGACTTCTGCCTCCACAAGGAAGACTTCCAACTCGACGTGTTCTCGACAGACATTGCGAAGGTTGGTCCATTCATGCACCGTGTATTCTCCCGCATAAAGCTGTTCTCGGAGGCGTTCACATGTATCTGGAATCTGACTAAAGAAACCCAATTCCCGAAAGCACTTGTGCAAGTTTCTGCGTGCATTGACTGTCGATTTCAAGTGCGGATAGTTTTGTATCATGAATGTATTTGCCTTTTCCATATCTCCAGCATTGGAAATGTAGGTGGATAGTTCTCTTAATCGTCCAAGATCATCCTTAGTCGAATTGACTGCATTGACCAATTCCTGCACTTCACTTCCCGATGCTGCAACTCCGTCATTCAATCGTGAGTTGATGAGTGTTAATTGGCGCTTGGATGCGGATCTGAGTTTTGCAATTTCCTTGTCCATTTTGTTGGATCCTTCAATGGGATTACCGAGCGCTCCAATTTCCACTCCTTCCGTGGAAGAGTCTGCAGTGCTTCCCGTGCTAGTGCCGTGATGTGTGTCGGAAGATGCCTTGATGACATTGGAACTCATTCCTCCATTGACGAGTAGTTCATCAATGAGTCCAGCATCAAATAGCCAAGTGGAGACGATGGAGATGGCGCGTTCTTCTGCCTTTGCTTCAAAATCTTTCAGCGGCAGTCCGACCACTGCATGTCGAATGTCGGGTGGATCAGTGGGTCTTGAAAAGATGGGAATAGAAGAGATTTCTCCCTTGTCTGCGTCGCCGTCTCCTCCAGTGCCGCCCTTGGCTTCTCGTTCTTCTAGTTTTTCGTAAAATACCTTTTGCGTCAAGTGGTAGTCATCATAGGGCCAACAGGCGATTGGAATTTTCTTTTTGGTGACCAAGATGGTTCCTTCTCTGCGAGACTTGTCCGATGCGCCAGGAACCAATTTGGAAGGATCAAAATTCATGTTCATATTCATATTCATGTTCATATTCATGTTGATGCCAGACGCTCCTGGTCCCTTGCCCAAAATGGACGCCGTGAAACGCTGCATCGTCTCTGCGCCCACTGTTGAGGCTCTTTGGGATCCCTGGAGCATAGATGGTTTGCGGACCGCAGAGTCTGTGGCATCCATGCCGGCCAGAATAGAGTCTCGCTCATCGGGCGTGGCTTTCGTGCTTCCCTTGAAATTGGCATCAAAAGCATATGGATTCGATTTCGTGGATTTACTGCGGGATCTGCCACTGGCACTGGCGTAAGGGTCCACAGGAGGACCATCGTCAAAAGGGTTGGTGCCACTCATGGTCAATCAGTTGCTGCTGCTGCTATTTTGTTGTGCGTCAAAGAAGAAACAATGCCATGGGCAAAGATTCAAGATGTCGTTGTCGTTGTCGGCGGAGCGCAGAACCTTCCGTTGGATCGGATTGCTTTACACCGGGTTCAGCCAGATCTGGGACAAAGAGACGATCCACGATTTTTTGAGCCTGCCGTCCTGCACCATCGCTGCCTTTTTGTTTTGGTCGCACTCGCGTTTCCCGTCACAATTTCTTTTCGCTCGGATCACTCGATCATTGGTGCTCTTTCTTTATTCGCGGTGGCATCAGTGCATGGATGTGTGAGATACACACATACATGTAATAGATCGGCAATACAGTAGGCAACAAACAAACAAACTTCTGAGCAAGCAGCAAGGTCCAAGCTACAGTAGTATACCAAGAGCCAGACGCTTTATACTTTTACACGCTGCAAGAACAATTTTTTAGCATCGCATCGAGACCATCAGCTTTGGAAAATAATCATCGGACAGATTTAAGCAATGACATCGAGAAGCCCTCACAATCAGCCTTCCTCCAGAGCAAGGAGAGACCTCCACATTAGCAGTGGATCTTCCGTGGCAAGTGTCTCCAGTGCCTACAGTGTCACTTCTTCCTTTCGCCATCACCAAAATGCGCCATGGTCTCCACCCACTCCTTCCACGCCAAAGCCAATGTTGGCCGTGGATTCCACCCATACTCCCAAGACGAGAGGATCTGTGGGCATTATGATTGTGGGATTGGGAGGTGCCAATGGAACCACCCTATTGGCTGGAATTCTCGCCAATAGACTCAACAGTCAGTGGAGAGGTCCGCAGGGACAACCCATGCAACCAAACTACTATGGATGCATCACACAGTTGAAACAAAAGGGAAAGTTTGGAGGAGTTGGATTCAAAGATAAAATTCAGGGTCTAGCTGATGCTTCCATGGCGGCTGTTGGAGGATGGGTGAGTTTCTTTATTACATCTCTAATGTGATCAGCTACTTTCTGTTTGCTAACATCATATCACTTGGATTTGGACGGGAAAAATCAATTTGTAGGATATCAGACCCACCAAGGTTGGAGACGCTTTGCTTGCTCATCAAATTTTAGATTATGATCTGGTCAGACAGTTAAAGGAGGAAATGAATAAAGTTAAAATATTCAGGGGGGTCTATGATCCTCGCTTCATTGGACCCTCTCAACATTCAACAGCAACACATGTACTCTCCAATGACGAAGCTTCCAATGACAGTGAAGCACTCAAATGCTTAAGAGCCGATATCCGATATTTCAAGTGGAGAAATGGAGTCGTCGGACACACAACAGTCATCTGGAGTGCTTCAGTTGAACCCAATTGTGATTTGCTAGAAAACATACATTCTGCAAGGGACTTGTTAGAAGCCATTGAAACACATGAAGAACGTCGTGGTGGACCTCTGCCACCCTCATTGTTATACGCCACGGCTGCTCTACTCGAAGGATGCTCCTTTGTCAATGGTGGCAGCCAAAATACACTGTCTTGTCCTGGACTTGCAGATTTGGCAAGACAACAAGTTGGGGTATACTGCTTGGGGACCGACTTTAAAGCTGGACAAACCAAATTCAAAACAGCCGCAGTGGAGTACTTGAGAACCATGGGACTCGCACCCCGAGTCATTGCCTCCTCCAATCACCTTGGAAACAACGATATGAAAAACCTGGATACTGCCAAGGCCGCAAGCAGTGCCAAACTGAGAGTCAAACAAGACATTTTTGCGCCGTGGGAAGAGGATATAGACCACAAGGTCAGCATCATGTTCACACCTGAAATCAATGACGACAAACGTGATTTTGTAGAGTACACCAGTCATGCATTTCTGGGGCAAACACACACCATGGTTACCTACACGCGCGCCTCGGATTCGGTACTCTGTGTGCCGCTCATGATTGATGCCGCAGTTTGGTGTGATTTCTTCGCGGGGCGTAGTTGGCCTTATGAAAAGGTGGCCAAGGCGCTCGCCTACCTTTTCAAGGTACCTGAAGGGGTTGCCAAGGGTGTGGACCCAGGTTTTTTCCGACAAATGCACGAATTGGAGCTGCAAAGTATGGCCGCACACGAAGCAAAAACATCAAAGTCCAAAGATGCCACTGTGAAAAAGCGAGTCCGGATCCGGCCAGAGGAGAAAACGACGGAATGGGCTATCCCACACGATGCAAGAATAATCTGTGCTGGTCTAGCATGTGTAGACATGCAGCTGAATCATGCCACAGGAGGCGACGGTGGTGAGCACATTGAAACATTTGCCGGTGAAAAGAGCATTGGCGGAGGAAGGTAAGGATTCCTGTGTAGTGAACTCATGCGTGTGTACGTTTGTGTTGTAACTGATACGTGTTGTAACTGATTCATCTGGTGGTTTGGTACAGTGTATCAATGGCTTGCAAAACACTGGCTCGATTGTGTCATGGACCACCGTTGGATGACGAGTACATGCAAGTGACACCACCAGTGGTGCATTCTGTCATTCCTCTCTGTAAAATTGGCAACGACGATACCGGAAACAAGCTTCTATCACTATTGAAAAACTGCGGAGGCTGTCGGAATGTAGATACGACATACACAAAGATTGCCAGACAAAAAGACCCTTCTGCACGGACCGCGTTGGCCGTCTTACCAATCTACCAGGATGGAAGAAGAGGTTGCTTCTTTGATGCGGCATCCAACAGTACATTCTCTGCTCGTGAGCTGGTGCAGATGATTGGTAGCCTTTCTTCTGGATCCACTGGACCGATGTTGGACTACTCACAAATGACAAACGATGAGATTGACGACTACAGAGAACGACTTGAAGTTTTGACTCCCGATTACGGTGCCTTCCTGTTTGGCTACCCACACCTGCTTCCTCAGATTCAGGGCGAAGCGCTAGCACAGGTTCTGTTGGAAGCCAGAAGCATTATGATCGACGGTGGCATTATCGCGTTGGACTTGAACGGCGTCCCAGAGGGCACATTCCCAATTCGAGAAGGATCAATCCGATCTCTCTCTGATCTGCGCAACGACGCAGTGATTGGAATGGCATTGGAGCACGTCGACATTCTGCACTTGAATGAAGATGAGCTTTGCTTGCTCACCGGGTGCGAGGTGGTAGGAACAGCTGAATCCGAGTTGGAAGACGAGTATGCCATCGCAATGGCAGTAAACTTGTTTCTCAATGCTGGCGTCGGAGTTGTAGCCGTTACCAGGGGCTCCAAGGGAAGCTTTGTCAGTTGCAACAATGAAGAGCGATTTCGACGAACTCCAATGCTGTAAGTTGCTCGATGGGGCTGGCTGTTCCAGCCTTGGACCTTTCCCGATTACTGGTGCTGACACTGTGCTTGCTGTCTTCATTCTCAATCTCTCAGTCCCAACTCTTGGGTTGATTGCACTGCTAGGGGTAGTGCTTTGCAGCTTCCTCCTGGGACGATCATCAACTCGAACGGAGCTGGCGATTCGTACACTTCGGGGCTCCTTGTAGCATCGATGTTGCGACACACAGGGATGACCGTCCCAATTCGGAATGAAGACGGCAGAGACGAAGAGATTTCTCCAAAGAGCCAAATTCCTCCCCTGAAAGGGAAACTTGCATCCGGCAAGAAGAGGATGACTCCGTACACACTGTACATGCGAGAGAACTACGTTACACTGAAGCAACAATGCAATGACGACAAGAAAGCCATCTTCACTAAGTGCCATGAGATGTGGGAGAATGAAGCAGACGAAGTTAAATCCATGTACGAGCGCAAAGCTTTGGAAGAAAATGAAGCAGACGCCGAGAACGAAATATCGAACCGCGTGATAGACGACATGGAAGCTCTTGATTCAACCCAACAATTGACTTCTCCATCTCACGATATCGAAGAGAACCCTCGCAACCTGTATATGACAAATCGATCGTTGAACCTAGAATCGGCTGTCTTGTTTGCAAGTTTGGTGGCCGCCTACCACATTGACATGTCCACTCGAGACAGAAAGCACATCGATATGCTACAACTGCTAGAACGCTCCATGGTTTTTCCCACTGGTCTTGAAGAGATCTAGAACCCAGCAACTCACCGAGGGGTACCGATCGGCTTGGACCCCCTGTGTTGTGCGCTGATGTATAAACTAATCCGGTAGTACCTAAAATACACTAGACTAGAATCGATTTCCCAATGCTTGTGCGTGGTTGACGGCTGTGTGTTTGTGGCTTGTACAGAAAAAGGCTGTGTCTGTTGATTCAAAGTGCACTGTGGCAAATGTGTGGTATAGCTGTCTCAATCTGATGCATGATTACCTCTGGAACCCACTGCAGCATTCTAGCATTCACATCCCAAAAGCAAGTTGAAACAATCAAAGTGAAGGGAGCAAGGCAGCAAAGCCTGAGTAAAGAGAACACCAAAGGAGCAAGATGTGTTCTGAAGGAAACAAAGCTCTCCTGGAAAAGGGTTCCTCCCAAACCTAAACTGCCTGCAATATCAAGGACCCAAGGCTCGGCACTGCTAAAGCACCAGACCTTAGATTTAACAGCTCTGCGGCGTTATCCAACCGACTTGCGATCTCCCATCCATCTCAACCGAGTCTGATCACCATCACATCTTAATTCTGCAATGGCCAGCCAGCTAGCTACTTGAGCTTTGGATTGATTATTCTTATCATCAAGCAACCATGTCCTCTGTCTTTGTACGAAGATTTCACCGAGCTTTACCGGCTGCAGCCACAGCTGGTTCAGGGAGGGCAGTCCGTTCCCTTTGTCGACAGCCACCGTCTTTTGGAGTGAAATTAGCCAACAACCCGCTATTGGCCCATACAACCAGAAACTTCTTTGACTTTGCAGTCAAGGAAGACAACCGCATCCGAGAGATTATTGTAAACCCCGACAGCCTTGGAAGCAAGATCAAGCCAGGAAATCTTATTGACAAGTACAACAAGAGGGCCAAGGAAACAAGGACGGTGCCTGTTGAGCTAGAAAAAGGGTACTTCTGGATGATCAAGGACCTCCAGGAAACCAAAGGCAAACCAACCCTCTCCAATCCACATCTTATACCCGCTGAAAAGGCTCAACTCTTTCCCAGGGTCCTTGCTGGAGTTTCTACACTTGCCGGTAAAGATGTGGAGATTCCAGAGTTTTTCCTCAGGAGGAATCGTGAGTGCTGCCAAGAGGCTGCCAAGTGAAGCTTCCTGGTACCCAATTGTCTGCAAAAGGTATTGATAGAGAGACTCACTAACCAATCAAATTCTTGCTGGTCCATTGGTTTTGTAATTATAGGTTCAAGGGATGAACATGCACAATGCACTCTGGTTGCATTGAGTTGCCGAGATCACGGGTTTCAGAGCCTGAAAACCTGGACAGAGCCATTTCAAGAAGCGTTTCAGGACAACCCTCGAGGGGAGGTTGTTCGTAAGTATGGACAAAAGTGCGCGGGATTAGCTGTTGCAATGTTCTCTAACTAGCAAGTTTTTTCTCGGCGCTCTTTTCAGACCTTCACATCACAGAGGGCTGGTTCAGTGCTAGCGTTCTGGGGTCCCTAATCACTCGCATGGTCAGGAATAATACACCAGTAGAGCATCACGACAATACACTGATATGCTTACGGAAAGACCTGGAGGACTTTAGAGACGCATTGAGAATTCACAATGTCATGTGCGGGTACATCTTTCTTCTGGACGGTATTGGTAAAGTCAGATTTGCTGGCAGCGGCGAAGCCTCTGAAGCTGAGAAAGTTCGTCTGGTCCAGTTTGCGCAGGACCTGACCCAGGTTAGTGGAAGAAGGAATAAAGGCCTCGCAAAGAAGCTGCCATCGAGAGAAGCGGATGATGGCGATGAAAGCAAGTCAAAGCGAAGAAAGGCCAAGCGAAGGCCAGATCAGTGAACCCCGTTGCGGTCAGCAGAACGCCGTTTCGTTGCCAATCATGGAGCTACCGGTACCGGTATAAGCTAGCTACTATAGGAAGGCGATGAATTCTTCTTTGCTACTACTTAAACCCATACAGCTTGGACTGATTTCTTGATTCGTTTCATGATATCCTTGGTCTTGCGCAGAGCTGGATGCCCGGCATCTAGATTTGCTTTCTGCCACTTCAATACGGGGGCACAGCATTTCAAGGCGTCCTCATAGTTGCCAAGACCAAAGTGGAGAAACCCTATTGTTCCGGTTGTTTCGACTGTGATGGGAGTCCCCGGTCCGAATCGTTTGATTTGAGAACGTAACACACCACTCAAAATCTATAAACAAAAGGCAAAGTGAGCATATCTGATCTTTTCGAATGAATAGCAGCGCACCACGCCTTTCGTAACTAATTACCTGTACTGCTTTTTGCGGTTGTGCATTGAAGGCCCATGCCAGTGCCAGACTCACGAGGCACGCCAAGACGGTGTCATCGTCTGCCCTGAAAATGGTTGTCTGTAGCAACAGCGCCTCCTCGTAAACAGACACTGCCAAATCATAGTCTCCTCGTTTGATGTGTATCTTTCCCATGTTGCCCAAGATCACAGCGGCACCAAAGACATTTGCCTCTCTTCGAACCGCACCCTGCAACCACATGCGTTGTATTTCCAGAGCATCGGTGAAATTTTTCAACGCCCCAGTATCGTCCCCTCTCTGGTACCGTGCCACCCCCAGATTGGAAAGAACCTTGGCCTTGCAAATGTTGCCGTCGACAAAAATATCCCCTGCTGCCAGGAAGGAAGCTTCTGCTAGATCAAATTTTTCCACTGCGAAATAGGCATACCCCTGCCGTACCAATGAAACGGCAATATCTGGATGTTTGTCCGGGAGAAATTGCAATCTTGCTTGGATTGCTTTGCCAATACTTTCCAGGGCCTCTTCGTACTTGTCTTGCCACATGAGGATGACTGTCATATTGTGCAAGGTCACTCCTTCTAAATGTCTCAAAGGATCCTCTTCTTGTATTTGAATACCACGTAGCAACTTGTTGAAAATCAGCATGGCCTCATCGAATCTTCCATGCTGCAGAGGGACACTTGCCAGATCGTGTACGGCTTGCAAATGTAGTGCGTTGCTAATCATGAAAGTATCTTCATCGACGTCAATGGGCACACTGCAGGACGCGGCCATTTCCAGAATGTTTTCTCCCGACTGATCGACATCTTCTACGGATGACATGAGGGAAGGTTTGGGCGGTGGTTTGTTTTCTGCTCCCCACATGGATCCCCAGAGTTTGTGTCGAGGAATGATTTCTTCAGTGGTGGAATGGGAATGCTCTTCTTCATCGGTTAATTGCATGAGAGGCAGTTGTTCGGGACTATAGTTGCAGCGTTCGGGAGACTGATGGTTTTCGCCACTGCAAAAGAGGTAGTTACTAGCGTCATCGACATCCACAACAGTGCAGCTATTGGTTGCAGTAGTAGTAGCAGGTGCAGCCGTACTGTTCCAGTTTGCGTATTGTTGTTCTCTTGGAGGAGGAACGTCGAGTGTGACAATCCAGCGATCATCTCGAAAGAATCCTTCCAGTACAATTTCTGGAGACTTTCGTCCTGCAGTGGCATTCCACATCATGTCGGTCACCATTTGCTTGGTAGAGTAGTGTGTGGATCGTCCGGCAAACGAGAATGATGGTGCTGGTTCCCAGGGCGTGCAGGAAGCGTCGCTTTTGGATCCCGATGGCTGTCGTTCTAGAGAGATGAGATTGGCAGGCCCCAGAGACAGGTAATCCATTCCATCTAGACGTCCCCTTAGGGCATCATCCAGCATTGTTTGTCGCTCTTGTTTAACGACGACTTGTTTGGAGGATTGTTTTTGCTGTTTGTTTCGAAACTGAGCCTTGGATGGAAAGTCCATACTAGCAATTCTTCTTCTCGAGGGTGGCGAAGTGACGGAGGATGGTTCCCCATTGTCGTTGTTTCTGAAATCTTCTGATTTGGAGTGTGTTCGTGGAATGGGTGGTGAATCTTCTCCTGGATCAATCTCTCCCAGTTGTTTTCTGCCGGCAGTGCTGGTACTCTGTGGAATTCCAATAAACTGTTTGAGTTTTTTCCAAGGAGATTTGTTTTTGTTTGCATTTTCTTCGCCCATTTGTTGTTGTTGTGGTACTTGTTGTTGTCGATTGGATGCTTTGACCGTGTCTAGACTGCACACTGTGGGGGTGGGAGTTTGTCCCATGGATTCACTGTTGAAGGAAAAATTGTCGACGTCGTTGGTGGTGCTACTGATAATCTGAAGACTCGGAGCGTAGTAGGGTCTGGCTAAAATTTCACTGGCGGTGGTGTCGCCATCGCACACATCTCGACTGCTGCTGGCATTATTATTAATAGTTGTACGAGTACTACCGGTAGTAGTACTGACTCCAACCGTAGGAGTTGACTGTTGTGAGGAAGGACTGGTCTTGTTTGTCTTGGGAGTTCTCAACTTGATCAGATTCGATATTCTCTTCTTGACACTGGCAGAGGAGGACGAGGAGGGAGTATTAATAGTGATGGTGGGTCGAGTACCAGCACTGGAAGTCGGAGAAGAAAAGGCTTTGGCCGCCAATGCGGCGGCGTCTTCGGCCGTCACTTCGATTGACCTTTCTCGGGCTGACATCTAGCTAGCTATTAATAGTACTGTAGCTATATACGGTAGAGACACAAATGTGGTGGGCGGAATGAATTTTAGAGAGCATGTAGCATGCATGCATTCAGAGACGCAACCAATGATGGAGACGCCCAAAGACACAACAGAAACAACCTTCACCAACTCTCTTCACACAAAAGAGAAGACAGAAAATTTTGAGAGGAGCAGGCACGCCGGGTAACAAGATTGAAAAGGTACCGATTCGATTCGATTCACTCCTCTATTGGTACCGGTACAATGTAGGGATCGGGATAACTCTGATCCACTCCTTTTTTCTTTGCCATTTTGTCGACAGCTGGTGCCTCCTCTTCTTGTTGCTTTCTGTTGAGACTGGTCCTACAACGAGCTAGACTACATAGTTGGCTCCTGTTGCTATTGATTTGCTTGCCTGTGGAATCGAATCCATTGCTAGCTAGCTAGATTGGTGTTACCCCTCTTCCTCCAAAAATAGGAAATTCAAGCACGCGGTTATCTACAATGGTGGAAATCGAAGAACTGCCCGCAGACTCCGCAGAACCCGCCGCTTCTGCGGCACCTACATTAGCGACCAAGAAGAAGTCCCAGTCCAAGGAAGAAACAAAAGAAGATCAACTACCGCCGCCTCCACCGGGATACAAGTATCGAAAAACCAAAAAGGATTTGCCATCGGTCTCGCATTTGTTGGCGCATGGATCCCCCGAATCACAAGGAAGACCCAAAACCTGGTGCGATATCTACGGGTATCCCATCTTTTTGGCCGTTTGTTTTGCTATTTCCCTCCTCATTTTCCATTATGCGCCCCATGAGAAGAGTGTACAACCCAGAGGAAAATTCCACAAACAATACAAAATGGCTCAGTTGCAGCAACAACGACAGCAAGAAATGATGGAAGCAGCCAACGGGCAACCTCAACAATCTGACTCTTCGACAACTGTTACTGATAATAACATCCAAGTGGATGTGAAACCAGAAGCAACCACGGGTGCCGCAGAAGGGGAGCTGTAAACCGATTTCATGTCCAACTTCACGGGTCTTTTCCTCCCTTTTCAAAATGATTTCATCAATCCACACTACATGTACATCTAGTTTCTTCTTTTTGTTTGCCAAACGGTTCTTCGTAGCACGATGGCATATCTTCATGAATGTATCGCGCTATCATACTCCTGTTCGTAGTCATCGCAGCTACGAGAGACAGCGCTGTTTCCTGTCCTACCTACGGTATGCATAGCTACTAGATGAACCGGTATGGCAGAACACACTATTGCTACATATCTTAAATAGTAGCCGGACTTGAAAAGATAATTGAGACCTCCAGGAGACCTAACAATCATCTATTCGGATGGGCCAGCAAAGACTGCAACGATGGGCATGATACTACGAGTACAATAGGTACAGGACAACTATCTAATAAAATAGCAAACTCAAACCAAACCTTCTACACTATACTTTCCCGTTCTACGACTGCAGATTCTCTTCGATCTCCATGAGCATCTTGTTCGTGACTTTGATTTGAAGTGCACAGGCAATCAAGATATCAGGATTCAACAGTGTAGCATCTGGGAACGTGTTGAGGTATGTCATCATACCCTCAAGTTCGTGGTTCAAAAGAATCGGTTGGCTCAGGAACAAAATGGCAGTGCCAACGCGAAAGAAGATCTTGAAACTTCGTTCAACCAGCCAAATATCCCAAATGTGGCATACTGTCGCCGATGGCATCGAAGGCAAATACAAGAACAGCGTCTGAAACCAACCAAGGGCGAACAGTCCAACATTGAGTTCGTGGTGCTCAAAGTGGTCCGCAAGCACTGGAAGCTTCAATTGGATCAGCTTTTCGAAAACACGACAACATGTCTTGAGGCATCGTAGTTCAGGCCAGTACATATGTCGCAGGTTGAACGTGGTGAAGAGACAATCCATGACACGGTAGATCGTTTCTTCGACAACCAATGTATTGTCAGTCTCTTCCATAAGTTTCGATACTGCTTCTTCATCGAAAACTTCAGGAAACTTGGGTGCAGAGAGAATTGAAGCGGGGAGAGTACCGTGTGCAGCCCTCCAGCAAACGGTTTCTTGCAGAATGCGAAGCAGATGAGCCACAACATAGTCCATTCCTTGACAGTAGCCAACATCCAAGTGTGTTGCCGCTAATCCATGAAGGATGAACGCGAGCTTGTTTTGCAGATCAGCTTTCATCTCATCCGTCAATGCATTCCCACCCAACACAAGCAAATCGGTGGAGACGACGTCCTTGCCCTTCTTCCTTCCGTCGTCGTTCCTGGTGGATCTGTCCTCTCCGTCAGCAGTTCCGTTGCAGCTTCCAGCGAAGCTAGGAACAGGTGAAACGCCTCCCCAGTCGCTAACGGTGTCGGTTCTAGTTTGACTGGCTTCACTTTCGCTGTCAAAAACAGTCGACAGTCGACCTGAGGAAGGTGGCGGGTTGCCGTCTCCTTTGACGCCTCGTTTCATGATACGGTTTTTCCCCCAGGTTACAAGGGCTCGGACAATCGAATCAGTTCGCAGCCGGGAACCTGTCTTATGGGGTGGCATATTGCCAAACGCCCTGGCCACATCCCTTTGGATAACATTGTGGTATTTCCCAGTCCGTCCAGCTTCTTCGAGACTCATCAACTGGTCTCTGTTTTCGCTCGCATTTTGTGTTGCTCCTGTTGTTTCACTGCATTTCTCCAGAATCACCCACAGCCAAAATGAAGGCCGCACGTGCATGCTTAGGCCTCCAAGTCTCACTGCGTCCCGCATCAAGATTTGCTCATTTTTGTCGACGAAACTGTGACAACTCCTGCTGGTCATCTTCATCCTACACACAGCGACAGGATCACCCAGATAGTCCAAAATGACAGCCAGCATCTTGGGTTCGTGTTGTACCAATGATTCGAATGGACTTGGGTGTTCATCTGGTACAATCCATTTCTGTTCGCCGAGGAGACCACCTTTTGTTTTGGTGGCATCTTCGTTTGACTTGCTCTTCTTGGAGGCTGCCGTACTCCGTGTAGCTTCGATCAAATCAAAACTGGAGGCGCCTGATGACTTTGTGTCGGAAGGCTCGACAACGTCCGCACAATCGTTGTCGACCCCACCGCAAACTTGTGCGCAGAAGATGACTATCTTGTCGGCAGGACATAGACGAAACACGATCCGTTGCATCGTCGTAGGGTCGGCGCTCTCTCCGTTCTTAGGGGTGCCGTGGATAGATGTAGTAACCAGGTCAAGTAAGAAAGGGTTTTCTTCACCGAAAGGACTAGGTATACCCGCAGCCTTTGATACCCGATGAATGAAACTAACGAAATTGGCAGCAACAACCGACGAGGACTTTTGACCAGAGGAACGCCCAACCGTGAATGGTCTCATTTTCTTTCGTGGGCTGAGTGGTGCATTTCTCTTTGCCCGTTCGTCGTTTTCAACTTGGATCTTTGCATTAACTTTTTCTGCAGTGTGATCGCAAAGCTTGTTAAGGTTCTCGTCGACCTTCAGCAGATTTGAAATTACAGTGCGGATGGCACTGTCCGAAGTGTCCAGCAAAGCCTCTTGGGTTTTGACTTGCAAGACTCGTACAGTGAGCCACCTGTGCATCTGCATCAGTTCCGACTCGACAGACACCGATGAACTTGACGTGGCTGCAAAAGTGATCGACCCCTGGCGATCCTCCATGGGCTTCTTTGCATAAACCCCGTTCCGCCACGGACTAAATGCACCGCCGGAGAGATCACGAACAAAGCTGTGTTCCTCTCTTGACGGACTGCTCACAGCAAAATCCTTGAGAATCCCTGTTTTCTCCGCAATCAGATCTGATAGAGTATCCTTAGAGGAAAATTCTCGACTGTCCTGACCAAAGAACAGCCTGGCAGCTTCTTCGCCACCAGGGATTCTTTGGATATTGTCGTGGAGGTTTTCACCAATTTCAGGTGCACAAAACAAGGATGGCAAATCGGTGGTTTCTTCCGCGTCATCACCAGCGTGTTGTGGCAGATTCGATCGAGATGCAGAATACGTTTCTTCAAAAGTCACCGCTGCGGCGTGGCTTGCCATTGCCACCTTTTCTGCCATCTTTGTGTCGTGAATGATTGGAGAGGATGTCGGGGTGCTCGTTCTCTGAACATCATCGACATCCTCACGTGTCTTCCCATTGTTTGTGGGGGACATGGACAAACTAGGCGATGTCAAAGTCTCTAAGAAAGAGGCGGATGAGCCTAGAAACACATCGTCAGTAAGACAGGACAGAACGAGAGAAAAGTAGATTGTCCAATACGGCAAAACTCACCAGAGGCATTCGTCATGGGATTGTCATTGATAGCAAGGTTCAACTCTGTCCGCAATATCTGTGGTGGCTCGACATCAACTGTGCTTGGTTCCCCGGCTTCATCGTCCTGCCCAGACCTTGTCTCGTCAACTGAAGTTTCCATGCTAGTTGAAGCAATTGCGTCATTTTCGAAGAGGGACTTGGTATCCAATACCTCCCTCGCGTTTGCACCAAAATCAAATCGTGACGAAGACCCTTGGTTTACCCGTCGCATTGCGTTTTCAAGAGCTTTGGATCGAGCTGCATCCACGGGCGACGGTGTTGGTCCAGTGTGAGACGAAGACTGCGGTACCGTTGCAGGCGTAACATTCAGTCCAGCCAAATCAAAAGCATCTGAGATGCCACCAACGCATGAAGTCTGGCTGTTGACCGACTTTGAATCAGCATCCCATTGCCCAGCAGCAAAATTGGAGCACTTTAGCTCCGTGGGACTCTTGTTTGATTGTACTGCAGCGGCCCAAGAGCCCTCACTACCTCCGTAACCACCGCATGAAATCTTGATTCTGCCAGGTGACTCCACTGGTTCCCAAATCTCTTCTTCGGTCAATGCCCCACAGGCCATCCCCTCTACTTTAGGTCGATTTTGTGTCCTTGCCGATGGGCTGCACATTCCGATTGTCTCCAGGCCCTTGTTTATTTCGGCCATCGACTCTCTCACTGTACCGAGATGCATCGCTTTCCCACTGCTACCAAGCCATTTCTTCAATTTTTCCTCTGATGGAGGGGCCAGTAGCGGTACTTCCTTTCTTTTATCAGAACCCCTTCGCTTCTTCTTTTTCTTCTTTCTTTTGGAAAGGGGCGGAGGTGGTGGAGGAGGAAGCATGCTCGGGCTCAAGCTGCTCTTTGGCGGTATACCTTCCCGAACCTTTCCAGGTTTTGAAACGTTTGCACCAAAACTAGGAACCAATGAAACGCCTACCAAAGAAGGCGACTCTTCCAGATCGTAAGTGTCAGATTCAGCAGAGTATTGAAGGCCACTGCCATCAGAAAACAAATTGTCCTCGCTGGTACAACTGTCGCTACGTTCTGAATGTGCGTCCGACCCTTCAAAACCATTCGCCGCTTGTTTGTTGATACCTCCGTTCTGATAAAATGTCGACGACGAAGATGACTTTGAAATGTACCCGTCACAACTGCCAAAGTCGCCCGGAAACTGTGCGCTTTCTGCCAATGCGCCATCGGGCTTGCTCTCTGTGGAAGACGAAGAAGCGGAAAGGGAAACCAATGGCTCCAAATTCTTTGGGTTCATTTCTGGAACAGGGAGAGTTGCCGGTATGAACGAGTCCACACTCGTTGCGTTCGTTTCTGCTGGAACAGGGCACGACGAGATATGCTCTGTAAATCCTGGAACACATGGAGTCGAAGTTGACTCTGCCGAGGCTGAGGCAGCAAAGGCTGCTTGCTCAAACGCTGGGGCTTCATCTACCGGTACGACAGGGAAAGGCATAGAATCAATGTCTGTTGCTGAATTTGAGCTCTCCTCGTTCTCCTTCTTCTCTTCCATTTGGGGTACGTAATCCACTTCAGGTGGCTCCTGGGAAGAGTCGTCATCGTCGATCTCCTCCTTGGATGAACTCTGACTCGAATCATCATCGCGCGGTGCTGGCGACGTATATTGTTGAAGGCGTTCTTCTTTGGACGGCTGAGACTTGTTGATCCAGACATCTCCACTATCGCCGTCTGCCAGAAGATTATCGACATCTTTTTCATCAATCGTAACCGCATTGCTTTCGCTCTCATCTACTTCTTTGCCGGGTTCATCAGACGCCACACTGGACATATCGAACCCTGCACTGTTGTTGCTTGGACTATCCAGTTGCGTTTGAGAGAGCTGAGAGCGATGTGGCGACGAAAGGGGTTGTGAAGAAAAGTGTTCTTCTTCCTTTTTCTCCTCTTTAACTTCAGAGAAGATATTTTCACCTAAGCTGGTTGCGTCGAACGGGTCGGAGAATACATTGCTTGTGCCCCAGGACATGGGATCGCCTGTATCAAACAAGTCGATAGCGTCACTTTTCGAGGGCCCTCCGTTATCAAATTCGTTGAAAATGACTTTCGCAGTGTCCCAAGAGGGGTCTCGAGGAGGCAAGGCTGCGCTTGCTTCGGCGATCGGCTTCGTTGGAAATGCGTGTATGGATCGGAGGTCAAAACTCCCAGAGGCCGTAACCTCCGCATTATCGGCCTCACTTGTTTCCTGGACAACATCTATCTTTTTTGACTGAGACTCAACATCAGTGTTTCCGTTGGAGGTTGCTTCGTCCTTCTGTTGTGGCACAGTGTTGTCAATCGGAGCATCTGCCTCTGCCTCAATGCTTGATTCGGAGTCTGGTGATGTCTGGTTGCTTCCAACTACGGTAACTTCGGTCTTGGCTTCGTCCTTCTGATGTGGCACAGCATTGTCAATCGGAGCATCTGCCTCTGCCTCAGTGCTTGATTCGGAGTCTAGTGATGTCTGGTTGCTTCCAACGACGGTAACTTCGGTCTTGGCTTCGTCCTTCTGATGTGGCACAGCGTTGTCAATCGGAGCATCTGCCTCTGCCTCAATGCTTGATTCGGAGTCTGGTGATGTCTGGTTGCTTCCAACTACGGTAACTTCGGTCTTGACTTCGTCCTTCTGATGTGGCCCAGCGTTGTCAATTGGAGCATCTGCTTCAGGCTCAATGCTTGATTCGGAGTCTGGTGATATCTGGTTGCTCTTAGCTACCGATATTTCGGTCTTGGCTGGGAAATCACTGCTTAGCTCCTTTGTGTCGACGTCCGTAGCTGTCTCGGCCTTGATGGAAGTCTTTTCCTTCGAAGTTTGGGTGGCTGACAACGCTTTTTCGGCGCCTTTGCTGTCCACAGACGCTGCACCGATTGTTTCACTTGAAACAGCCCGAGTAATACTCGTTTCGCCCTTGTTTTCATTGTTCTCAGGTTTTGGATTGTTCTTCTCGCCCGTTTGCTGCTCTGGCTCTGTTTTCTTGGGGCGCCGTCTTCTCCTTTGCAATGATGGCATTTTCGGCTTTTCACAATGTTCTTCTGCTTCTTTGGTGTTGTTTGTAGAGTCCGTCATTACCGGCGGTTGACCTTCGTCGCTATCCAGGGTGTTCGTCTGGTGCACCTCTACATTTTTCCTCAAGGGGCTAACTGATTGTCTGTCATCCAGCCTTCCCCTGTGTGATAGATTCACCTTTGGCTTGTCACCACCATTTACTTCAGGTTCTTTGCTGTTGTTTGTAGAGTCTGTCATTGCAGGGAGCAACGGAGGACCGTCTTCACTATCAAGTGTTCTAGTTTCGTGAACCTCGGGACTGTCCGTAGTCGCAGGTGGATGTCGTGTCTTCTTGGACAGTTTCTTGATGATATGAGATCGCCGCTTTGATGAAATAGGCGAAGAATTTGCAAGCGTCGAGTTTGAGTGCTCCTCTGCAGGAGCCGTGTGGACATGGGCTGGTTGCCGTGATGGTATTGGAGAAAGTGGTGCCTGAGGCTTTGGGTTTTCTGCGGCAATGGCGGCAGATTCATTGCCAGTCTTTTCCGGTTTTCTATTGGCTGAAGTGTCAGCTGTCTTTTCAACTGCCTCAGATTTGCCTCCACTCTTTGTAAATGATGACTTGTTGGCCTTTGCTGCCTTCCTTGCTTTGGCCCGACTTCTTGCTCTATCAACACTGCTGTCAGCACTGTGTGCGAGCTTGATCGAAGACTTGTTTTCAGTCTTGATTAGCTGGTCAGATTTGTCAAGGCTCTTGGACGCCATCACAGACTTGTCATCGCTCTTATCTGACTTGGTTGACTTGTCATCACTATTTGATCTGTTAAAGCCCAAGTTTGACTTGATCGACTTGTTGCTTTTGGCTGATTTCACTGGTTTGTTAAGGTTGTTTCCCACCTTCAGGGGCTTTTCACCACTGTTATCAGACTTGACCGATTTGTCATCACTATTTGATTTGTCGACTCGTTTGACCGATTGAACGGACCTGTCATCACTCTTCGCTGATTTGACTGAAGACTTGCCATCACTTTTATCTGACTTGATTGACTTGTCGTCGTTGTTTGACCTGTCCACACTCAAGTTTGACTTGATTGACTTGTCATCGCTCTTGGCTGATTTCACGGTTTTGTCAAAGTTGTTTTCCACGTTTACGGATTTGTCATCACTGCATGTATTTGATTTGTCAGCACTTTTGACAGATTGAACAGATCTGGCATCACTCTTGGCTGACTTGACCGATTTGTCAAGGCTCTTGGAAGCTTTTACTGCACTGTCACCACTTTCCACGGACATTGTTGATTTGTCGTCACTCTTCATTGACTTGTCACTCTTAGCGGAGGCTAGAGATTTGTCGCAACTCCTTGATGATCGGAGAGACTTATCGTCAGATTTTGTCGCATTGACGGACTTGCCATCGTCGTTCTTTGCAGCTTTGTTTGCTGTGGTGTCGGCCTCATTTTTGGTTGGTTCTTGAGTCTCGTTGGAAGCTTTGGTATCCGAGGGTTTTCCATCAGAAGTCTGACGCTGAGCTGCAAATTGCCGACGAAATTTCTGCAGATTTTTCTGCCGTCGATTGGTGTATGCTCCTCCAGATGCAGCAGCAGCATGATTGGGACCAGGACGTTCAATGGCAGTATCAGACTCCTCCGAAGAGGAGGATGCATTTGCTTGTGTCATTCCGCTTGAAACAATTCCCAAACGACGGTGGGAATGAGTTGAGTCTAGTAGGCTCACTGGTCCAGATCCTCCAGCAAAAATACGGCGATGAACGAACGAAATCTAAAATTCTTCTGGGCCTTCTCCATTGCTTGGTTCAGCCAACATTCAAAAGGGTTTCGATGGAACAGATCGATGATTGAAGGTCAGATGGAGAGATGAGTGTTGTGGAGAAGTTCGTTACACGTTGGGCGGGGCACCCTCTAATTGTCAAAAGCAACGAAAAGAGGGCGGGCTTCCTCATTTTGAAGGAAGCACACTCACTCCATTGAGTTTGGGAAAGCGTTGAGAGCAAAAGTGACGTCATCGGCGTCAAATCCTCACCACAACGGACTTGGCACTTGCTTCGCTGCTGCAAAAGCAAACCAAGTCAAAAGTCCAATAACCAAGCCCATCCACTGCGACGGACGTTCATAGATTCAAGTTGTATGATTACCAAAAATCTCCTTATAGAGTTGAGTTTTTGAAGCAAGCTTAGTAGTTTCTTTTCCCTCATTCGTTAAGATAGTCTACCCAAACCTCGCATGCACCTGACCACAATATCAAAGTATCCAACAAAATGTGTCCTAGAACTCTATTCATCTTGATAGTGGTTGCTGTCACCCTGGATAACGCAGACGGCACTCTTTTCTCCAGTGTGGAGGGAGGTACATTCGCTGGGGGTGGAAGATCGTTGGGTCCCAATTTTGGAATTGGCCGTTTTAGACCAAGGGTACCTTTCCTGGAGCTGCAATGGCACCACCAATCAGGAGTGGAAGCTGATGATGAAAGACCAGCGATGCAGAGAACACTCCAAAGATATATTGATCCCATACGCGTTGGTTTGTGTAGAGCGCGAAAATACGAGTCAGCCGTGGCCCTATGGCAAGGCATGAAGTTCGCCGACAAACTGCAGAATGACATCTCCAGAACAAGTCCAGGGGGTAGCCGTCAGGTTATGCTAGCATCCAACGGCATCCTAGTTGGCACAGGTCCACGAGGTGGAGCACAAGTCAAAACGAAAAGAAAATCATCATCCTCGAGGGGAAAATCGTCGTCAACAGCCAGCAAAAAGAAAAAATCCACTCACGAGTCACCGTTGTCGGATGCAAATCCCTTCTTCCCGGTTGAAGCAATCGGTGAAATGGCACTCGGCGATGTGGGGAAGGTGTTTGAGTATGCGGTCAAGAGCACTCAAGAGGACTTTGATCGAGACCAATTCATAGGGGGGTTGGAAGCCCGACTTCAAAATGCAGTCCAGGCAATGGATAATGCTTCCTCTAAAAGCCGAGGGCCCAACGTCAGAATACCCACAACAACAGGCGAACCAGGGGATATAGACACCTTCAACTTTTGTGCAGCTATGCGCATTTTAACTGAGTGGAGGATGCTTCGGCAAGTGCCTGAAGGGTACAAGAGCTTTGCTGTTAGCATGAAAATGGGCCACAAAGACGTAGTCAGTAACATTGGAAAGATGGAGGAGGCTGCTCACGATTTCATTGACAGTCAAAAGAAAAAACAGGCGGCTTCAGCGGTCTTTAGCCCGACCTTGAGAGACCTTCTACAGTTCGAGCTGGATTCAAATACTCATGAATCACTACCAAAGCTGAAAGAAGTCAGCGGTGCCATGGGTCTTTTGTGGGTAAGAAGGCAGCTGCACTTTCAGCTGGCCTTTTTTGAGAATTCATGCGATAGGAAGAGCTTCCCGACTACATCAGAAGCGTTCCAGGCAGCCTATGAACAAGTCTATACTGACTATCATGGACGAACAGTGAGACAAATCTTCAACTATTCCTTAAAGGGCGCCCCGGAGAGAAGAGAGGTGTACAAGTGTATGAACCCTCGTAAACTCCAGGAGTGTCTGGCAGTGCCTAGGCATGTCATTGCTGCTTCTATGCGACAACCAGCTGAAGATAGCAACAACAAAGGCAGAATGGGCAGACTCAAACCTCAACCGACGCCACAACCAGTACATGTAGATGCCGAGGCTCTCGATGATGAGGCTGTGGATCAATGGATTTCTCGAGAAATGGAAAAGGATGCTCTGGACCACATGAAGTCCTTTCTGAGCGTTTCTAGCCCTTTGCTTGGTGACTTGACGCTGGTGATCGATGAGTTCAACATGAACGATCCGAAGAAAGTATAGAGAACAATCTTTTGTCACCGCTATAGCTAGCTAGCTACTACATGAAGACCGAACAGATTCGATTCGGCTTGCTCACGTGATCTTTCCCAGAGAGATTCAAGATGGAAAGGCCACCTTTGAGCTATTAATACAGGTACTTTATGCTATCTAGTCGTAGTTGCAAGTTCCTGACTTCAAGTTCAGATTATGGCTGCCGTAGCTAGCAACTAGAGCCCTCGCTTCTTCAACATTTCTCTCGTCCGCTTCTTCTCCCTGTCGAAAATGGTCATGTCTATTGGCTCATCAGGGAAGTGCATACCTTCAAATATGTCGCCAGGGTTTTCGGGTGTCGCAATGCATTCTTTGAGTGTTTCTATATACATCTGCACCATTTCCTTGTAGTCGTCGCCGCTCTCCTTTTCCGGTTCCAGCTTCTCGTCTCGCATCGCCCAATCAAGAGCACCAAAGGAACGGTTCTGGAATCGCAATCCTCGCAATGCCTCATCAATGAAAACTTTGGCAACGCCATGCTTCTCGAGGTACTTGATATCTTCTTGGTCGACGTACTGTTCCCAGTCGTTCAGACTCTTCATAAGCTCTTCCTCTGTGCGCTCTGGTCTTGACACTCGCTTTGGAAGACCCGGAAGACCTCTATCTTTCACAAGTTTCATAACCACGCGAGTGTTTCCGATTCGAGCATAGCCCCCAAATGCCTGCATGACAGCTTCTGCTTCGCCCAATCGATCAAAACCGACATATGCTCTATCGGTTGGCAACCCACCAAGGCAATCGATAAACTCGATGGATCCCTTTTCATCCCGAAAGGTACCGGAATATGGCTGAAAGAACTCGGTGAGAGACTCTTTTGTGACGGAAGATCGATCCAGGTTTCTCAGCATGATTGCACCTGCATGCGATTGATAAAAGTACTTGGACGGCATGTCGCCATCCACAATGAGCTTTGCACCCGGCGTTCGAATTTCACGGTTCCAAGCAGTGCCATCCATTCCCTGGTGCACAAGATTTCGCCGTGCCTTGAACATTCGGACTGGGTACTTTCCTAACTTTTCCAGGCGTGCTGCAACCTGATCAGATGAGACAACAGACTTTGCCCGATCCTCCGAGTCAAATTGGATTAATGCAGTTGTCGGCGTGGGAAAGTTGACCTTGAAGCTCGACGCAGTGTTTGCTGCACAAAGATCTGATCCCTCGGGGAAAAGGTTTCGCCCCAAAGTCTCTTTGCACAATTGGTCTGGTGGAATGTTTTCGAGGATAACAGTGGTGCCCGGGGTACTTTCCTGGAAAAACGCCCGCTTCATATCGTTCTCGCTCGGAGTGTATGGAGCCATGGTGATTGTCCTCGTCAGCATCGACTCGGAAGGTCCCTTGCGTACAATCAGGTCTCGGTTCTCTGCGGACTCGAATCCCACAAAGGCAGACGTTGCATTGGCCGGGAACACTTGTCCAAAGGAAACTCCTAACAATCTTGTAACAGCCTTTTGAATTTCCTGCTGTTGCAAAGTAGTCAAGGTTTTTTCACCGCCGTGCTTCAATCCTCCTTCGGGAAGTGCTGGTGGCAATCCAGTGATGTACAACCATCGCTTGAAGAAATCAAGGATGCCACTTGGTGGGTTGTTCCTATTCTTAGGGTAGAAAGGTCTCGGTTCCCTTTTGCTTTCAGGATGGATTGCGTGATATCTGACTTCCGCGTATTGAGTGGGGTGGTTTCTGATTGCCCTCCAAAAGTCCGGTTCGTTGGTATTCATGGGTGTAATGACATTCATCTGCTTCTTTGGAATGGTTTCGTCGTCGTCATCATCATCAACTCTCCCTCTCCTTCCTCGTCGTGGTGTTTCTTCGGCCTCGTCGTCTCCATCGCCCAAGCCAGCATCATCAGCGCTAGATTCTTCATCTTCGCCGTCACTTAGCTCCGCGTTCAATATTTCGTCCAAATCAATTTGGGCAATCTCTTCCATTCCTGCTAATGTCATCGGATCGATATCCTCATCATTGATGGCACCATCAGAGCCCAAGATTTGACTTGCCAGGGCCTTGTCTTCGTCCGTGAATAAACAATCGTCGTAGTCTTCTTCTTTCCAATAATCATCCGTCCTTCCAGTATCGTAGCCAACACTGACAACCTCGTTTGGTTTGCTAGGAGGGATTCCAGAAGGCACCATCGACTTGCCACCTTCCCCTCCACCACCTCCTGGAGGCTTTCGATTCCTGGATTCTCTTTTAGCTCTGGAAATATCCCTCGACATGGTAGCAACCAGGTTTCCATCTTCGACATCAGTATCGACGTCAGTATCGTCGGATTCTGCTTCTTTGTAGAATTCGTCGAGTTCATCCAAGGACTTGCGCTCGGACGCATCGTCGTCGCCTTTGATGTTGTGTCCTTTGGATCTTCGCACTGCCAGTTTGGGAATTCCAGAAGAATGCTTTGCCTTGAGCTCTCCCCGAGCAGCTGGTTCCAAGTATTCCTTGGCAAAGTTCGGTTTGTTCTTGTTTCGCTTCGAGTCTTCGTTCGAGTTTTTCCATCCATGGCGTCGACCACCACCGCCAGTGTTCAAGTGACGTCTTGGTGCTGCTTGATGATGGCACATCCAATACGCATCGCTGTTGCCATTGTTCTCGTCGTCGGGGATCAAGAGGCAGCGGAATCCAAGGAAAGGAGAGGACTTGGGCCTGAACGAGCGACCTGCTCTAGCCACAAGTGCCCTGGATCGCAACATGGTCTATCGCTGAGGGAGTGTTACTATAGTTAGGACTGCCTTGGCATGCAATCAACGGCGAGGATCGCAAAAGATTTGCTTTGAGGTTGCCATTCGCCAACCACGGAGTTGGCTGGGTTAGAATTTTGTTGTGGTCGTCCCCTTTTTTTGGTCCTTTTTGGAGGGTTAGGGTTATCTGGAGGGTTAGGGTTAGCCAAGTTTGCCCGTATGGTACCGGTATGGTTTAAAACTTGGGTTATTTAGATTATACCATTACGCGGTACCAGCCAGACGTAACTAAACTCCACTCCTCAATATAAACAGATGTTTAGGTAGATTAGACCATTACGCGGTACCGGCCAGATGTAACCAAACTCCACTCCTCAATATAAAGGGGGTTTAGGTAGATTAGACCATTACGCGTACCGGCCAGATGTAACAAACTCCATCCTCAATATAAACGAGGGTTTAGGTAGATTAGACCATTACGTGGTACCGGCCAGATGTAACCAAACTCCACTCCTCAATATAAACGGGGGTTTAGGTAGATTAGACCATTACGTGGTACCGGCCAGATGTAACCAAACTCCACTCCTCAATATAAACGAGGGTTTAGGTAGATTAGACTTATACCGGTACCGGCCAGATGTAACCAACTCCACTCCTCAATATAAACGGGGGTTTAGGTAGATTAGACATTACGCGGTACCGGCCAGATGTAATCAAACTCCACTCCTCAGTATGAAGGGGGGTTAGGTAGATTAGACCATTACGGGTACCGGCCAGATGTAACCAACTCCACTCCTCAATAATAATATAAACAGGGGTTTAGGTAGATTAGACCATTACGCAGCAGCTATCTAAAGCACGTATACATTCTGGGAGCCATGGCAGTAAGTATTAGCTATTGCCAATCAAGTGACAGCCCTTTTTGCTATTTCTATTTCCGTGGTTGGCGCCAACCGGAGGCATCTTGTTTTTGGTCAATGTTGGATGTGGGAGACGGACAGACTGCATTTTTTGCAATGTGCGTCCTTCTTGGGCTCTGGGCTTGAAATTGGGCTGCTTTATCAAAGTTTCAGCATGGGCTAGTCTAGCTAGTCGGTCTCGGTGAAGGTCTGAGGACGGACCAGCCGATAGTAGGCTAGGCGCGGGACCTGGAGTTGGGCCTTGGACTTCGGCCGGGCGGGAGTTCGCCTGGGATTAGGGGTCAGGTGCAGGTCTTTGTGTTGGACCTGGAATAGTGTTCGGCTGTGTTGGTCAAATGAGAATGGGTTTGGAATCATCGGTTGGGCCTGGAGTTGGCCTCGGAGGATAGACGATGGTGGCGTATGCCTTGCAATCGATATATCACTAATGTACCAAAAGATGATCAATGCACTGATGCAAGAGCAGAATGAAGGATCCATTAATTATGCATAAGTGTAAGCTGAAGGAGGCCCCACCCTACTTTGAGGGCAGTACCCACCGTATCCTCCCTCAATCATCATAGAAGCCCCATCCAGTTGCAAGTAGAGATGCCATGATGATAATGTAGCTCGGTACAACAACCCACCTTCCTATCCAATCTACATTGGGTGGCTCTTCAGGATTCAAGTCTGGTATCAATGCCTCCAAGCTGGATTTGAAAGCATCGCCAAACTCTTGGAATCGTTCGTGCAATGAGTCGTCCCTCATCCTCCTAGCATTGGTATTGCGCCGACGAGTCAGCCCTACCCACGACAGCAAGCCAGAGTTGTCAGGCATCCCATCCGAATCATCTGAACTATCCGAATCATCAGGTACTACTGATCTCCTCCGGTCAGGTACATGTAAGTGATCCATTTTCTTGCTTTCCCAGGTGCTGGAGTATTTTTCTACTCCCCGCCTGTCCGGGGCATCATTCATCTTCGCGTTTTCGAGTTTGAACAAAGTGCTGGTCCTACCGGTAGCAGCGGAATCGGGTTTCCGCTGGCGTATCGTCGTGATGTCTTCCTCAACGTGGGAGTTTTTCTCTTGGCTAATCGTCGAAATGGTACCGGTAATCTCTTGGGTTTCCGCGCTGAATCCGAGTTCTCCCGTGTCTGCCAAAATTTCGGCATCTGATTCGAGACGAATCTCCTCCTCCATCTTTTCCTCTGGGCTGGGGTTGCCTTTATCGTTGGTGTCACCTTTAGGGGCCAATTCAACTCCCGCCCCCTGTTCTACCTCGTCGCCTTCGTAAATTTCACCATCACCTTCATTCCCTTCCTGGTTGTCGTTGTCATTCGTGTCACCTTTATGGGCCTTTTCAACTCCCGCCTCAAGGTCGCCCTCGTCGCCTTCGTAAATTTCACCATCATCTTCACTCCCTTCCTCGCTGACATCGCCGAGGGCATCTTTCTTTTTCTTGCCAGCCACTTTCTTCACTGATTTCTTGACTACCGTTTTGGGATTGACATACTGGGCAACCTTGTTGAGGTTCATTGCCATCTGGCTAGCACCATAGGAGCACCAGATGATGAACATGACAGAAGCTTGATAGCCTATATTGACCATCATGAAAACTTCTGTCCAGCTAACGTCAGCGGTATCAGGCATCTCGACAGTCTCCCTAAAGGCTAGAGAACAGAGCAGGGACGTGATACCCAACGCAACAGATTCAGGCACCTCGGGAATCCAGAATGCCATGAATCCAACTGATGACAGGAGAAACGACGGGCATTGCAAGCCACACCAGAAGCAAACAGACAGGTTAGGATTTAGTTTTGTAGCAGCCTTTTGGAGGGCATCAGAAACAACAACAATGACAACAGATGAATGGACTTACTCCAGTTGATTAAAACGGCTGGAATAATGAGACGCACCCAGGCGGTGAAGGGTTTACGTTCAAGTCGGAGGTTGAAGAAAATCTCTTCGCAACATCGTTCCTGCTGGCTTCCTTGACCTTGTTCGAGATATCGTCGTCTCTCTGTAGGAGGCTCAGAGTCACTCTCCCCACACGCGGTCGAAATACTAGACCCAGACTCCATCACGCCACTCGAGTTGCTGATAGACTTGGACGTTTCAAAGTGGGGATCTGTCTCGACGACATGGAAGCCATGACTAGCATCCATCCAGACATTACTTGGGGACCCAAGATCAATCGAGCAATCATAGTTGTCAAAGGGGAAGGCATTGAGGCTGTTGGTAGTACTGCACAAGAACCTTACTTGCATGTTTGTTTCCTGAACACACCGCCCATCATTGGTGACTGTGATGGGTTTCTCGTGCAAGATCGTGTTAGAAAACTCGTTGGTGAAAAACAACTTGGGAGTCCAAATTTGAGTGGCATCTATCTGAACGTCCCCTTCGTAGACAAATGGATTCCATGACAACCGTGGATCCGTCCAGGTGATTTTGCGCCAAAGAACCACATCGAAGTACCCATCAAAGGGGTCAAACTTCGTAATGGATAGATCGAGCAGTCCTGTAGAGGCCTGCACTTCCTGAAAAGGTGGAGAATTGGCATTGTACCCCCGGAGCATTTGGTCAAGAAGGTAGCCGACTCGGTCCGCGGAGACCGTCAAGGTATTAGACGTCATATACAAAGCGTCTCCTAGTTGGAGTTCATCTTGCACAGCCTTTGTGGAACGTAGACCATTCGTCTGCATCGTTTGCATGAGGACATCCATTAGTCCCCACAGACCACGACGTTCGTGAAAGACCATTTGGTCTACAGTGGCCAAAAGCTTTTGCTCTTGCATGAGATGCGGATGAGTGGCATCCCAGCCTGAGCCAGACAATCGGTCATATTGGTCAGGAGCTAGGTGGTTTTTGGCAACTGTGAAGAGCTTCTCAAGCGATTCGTCGTTAATGGAAAACACGATTTCGGGGACGGACTTGACCATCAAGGTACTTCGGAAGATCTTTTCTGGCCAGTCAAAGTCGAGCTCCCACTCACTTATAAGTTTTGTGTTGGGGCACGCTTCTTCAAATCCCTTGATCGCCGAGTCGACTCGGAAGGTGAGATCGGTGCGGGTCGCTCGGTAGATCTTTCCAACTCTCAGCTCTTTGTTGCCTTGCTTGAGACGGCATATTTCGGCTCCTGCCTTGCGTGCCGAAGCCTCTTCCTCCAGGCGGAAGTAAAAGTAGAGAACTTGTTCGGACGTGAGATTGTACTCTGTCAAATTCATGTACATAGTCATGCCGTTGGCAACGAGGTCGCCAGTGAAGCCCCCATGGAAGAAGGCCATGCCGCGACGCAACAAGTTTGCCACGGGCGTCCAATCCTTTTCCAATCCTTGACCAATAGTAATAACTATGGTTGAGTTGAGCTCATCGCCTGCTATCTCCTCTACTTGACGGAGTCCATCCAAGTGGAACTCTCGTGTTGTAGCGCTATCCACACCACCTTTCGAACAAATCTGCTTGGTTAAGGGTAGAGTATTGAATGCAGGAGCCACAAATTTGGACGGCCAGTCAGTGTCATTAGGCGCGCAACGCCCACCAATCAAAATGACATGAGTAAAGTTGTACGGCACATTCTCCTCCTCCTCCATCTCCTCCACCTGTTCGGTTGCTTCCATCTCAGTGGCAACCTCAACCTCAACATCCTCAACCTCAACATCCTCAACCTCAACATCTTCATCCTCAAACATGTCCGTTGGTGCAGGAGTCACTTCAGGTGTACTCTGCATACTCTCAGCGGAGTCCATAAAGTCATCGAAAGTGCTGAGGCTGTCGTTGGTGCCAATAATGGCAAATGATGTCCCTCTCTTGGCATCTCCAACCGTGGCTGCCATGACCACGGCGCATAACTGCAAGCACAATAGACATGACAACAAACCTCGCCTAGAAGGTCCTGTTGAGCTCAAGTAGCCGGTCATCGTCTCGTAACTCGTATATCTTCCTCGTTCAGTGAATGAAAGTTCTAGCTATGTGCTTGGTGGGAGCTTACTCAGAGTGTGGCTAGCAGCTAGAGTCTGATAGTGCTGTGATAGTGGTAGCAGATCTGTCAATAAATGAGTTGGAAAAGACTCGAGACTGTCACTCCCTGCGCAAGCGGAAAGTCCGAAAGTCAGCTGCACAGCTGCACCTCCCTGCTCGGTCATTTTTGAAGCCGAATGACTGACGTAAGTGTTGTACAGGTACCGTACATGGGCTGGTACTCGAGTACTGTACTCAGTCCGTGAACCGTGAACTACAGCACCTGGAGGTAAAAAGCCCATTTGATTGAAACAGAGCAAAATTGACGATTTGATTAGGCATAAATGACTTTCCAAGAGAATAGTCTGATAATTGTCTGAAGAGAAACCATCCTTCCATAAGACAATGGTGAGATAAGTGTCAGACGATTGTCAGACAATCGCTAAATCTTTTTTCAGATGATCACTAAATCTTTCAGACGATCGCTGGTTACTCTTGGCATTATTCGGTACTGCGTTCAACTGAGTACTATCATAGATGTTCCGAGTCATCGCCAATAATCGTCTGAAAAAGTGGGGTCTTTGCCAATAATCGTCTGACAGAAACTGTCTGACATAATCGTCTTTTAAAAGACAGTTGTCAGACGATTTTAAGTTAATTGTCAGACGATAAGAGTAATCGTCTTATGACTGCCTGATATGACTTAAGCAACATGAAATTCACTCCAAAAATCCAAGTTTTACACAAATAAAGAACCAATTGGAGACCTTTACCTCGAGGTGCAGTACCATCTACCCGCGTACCGTACAGATGGGTAGCGTGATTTGTCCCTCACAAATTTTCACTTAGGCTAAGTGATTGAATTTTCACTTAGGCTAAGTGATTCAATTTGATTTACTTATGCTAAGTGAACCACTTAGCCTAAGTGAAATTCAGTCTTATTTGATTTACCAAGTAGTCAGTCACATTTGATTCACTTAGGCTAAGTGATCCACTTTGCCTAAGTGATTCACTTAGCCTAAGTGATGCTTTTCGTGGCAGCTTCTCTCAGCTCATAATCTGTCAGATTTCATTTTTTCAAAGGCACTGGGAAAACTCTGGCTCTGAGATATGTCAATATAAAAACTGTTAAGGATGGAAACAAATCACGACCATGAGCTTCCACTCTTACAAGGACAGGCCAATGGTGCATCCAACAATACCAACGCTACCAACACCAACAATAGTGTTGGCGAGGATGATTTGATTGAGTCTGAGCTTGGGTCTGAGATTGACCATGTCATAGGAGCAGTTGTTGACTCCGAAGAAAAGAAGAAAGAGAAGCAACGTGAGCACACAAAACAGCATGACAGAAAGCGGAAACAAGAAAATATCACAGCATCTAGATTCCCCTTATCAATGCAGACAATATCACTCAACTTCCTGGAAACAACGACGTTCCGAGCTATGTGATTTCAAGTGGTCTCTACTTGGTTCTGGGAGCTGTATTGAAACTGTATTGAAAAAACGCCTTGGAGCAAAGCGTGTTGCTTTTTCATTCTACAATACTTTGAAATAAGCAATGGAGCCTGTTCCAGATGAACTTCCAACTATCATTCAACAAAGATTTGATTTGGTAATCCTTGGTGATGACAAAGAATTGTGGTACTTTGATGAATTGAATGGTTTGACTGATCTTCCCACACTGGAGCAAGAAACCAGACATTTCAACATGGTATATCATGGTCTTGCCGATCGGATCAACAGTGTGTTTTCATCATTGCGAACCAATGATTATGTTAAATTTTTTCCATTATTGGAGTTACAAGGATTAATCAACAACCGAAGAAAATGTGATAATCTCTTGTCAAGTTTCAGACTTCCACGATATTATTTCACATTTCAAATTCAAGCGACTACTGACTCGTGGAGAAACTGGTTTATCACAATCCGCAATGGGACCAGCATGGTGTTTGCAACCACGTTGCAGCTTAGGAAGGTACCATCGATTATGCTGGGAAGACCAATAGACATTGAAATAGAAAGGACATTTCTCGTCGTCACCTTTGATGGGACGTGATGTTTTGTGAATCGTTCCTTCCTCAATTTTCTTTTTGCTGCGTCGTGATTGCTTGGTGGAATTTGAAACAGCAGCAATACTAGTAGACGCGTCTTTGTGGTATCTAAAATGAGCATATACAAATTTGATGTTGTGACGTTTTTTCTCATACCCTTTCATCACTATAAGGAATCCTTGCTCACGACATGCTTTGACAAAATGTGGGCCAAGCATAGTTTCGCGCCATATGCTTGAGTTTTGGTTGAATTCTTTGGGCAGCCAATAGACTGTGCTGTCGTCTGGGTTTTTTGGATTATTCACACCATAGCCAATGGTGGAAGCCAGATTAATAGTATCAGTGGCGTCATCCTCCAGGGAAGTTGCAACCTGAATTCGAATCTCTGTTGTAACCCAATTAAACTCTTTCTTGTGAAGCTCTTTGAGCAGTTCACATGAAGTGGGGGCATGATGGGTGATAGTTGTGTCTCTCCTTGTGGCTGTGTGTGTGCTTGTTGCAGGGACTTGTTGTGTTGTGCTGTTGAGGAGACTTGAGACTTGTGCTGTTGAGGAGCCTCGGAGAGCATCACTTAGCCTAAGTGTTTCGCTTAGCCTAAGTGAGTTGATTAGTATGGCTTAGCCTAAGTGTTTCGCTTAGCCTAAGTGAGTTGCTTAGTATGGCTTAGCCTAAGTGTATTGCTTAGCCTAAGTGAAACACTTAGCTTAAGTGTATTGCTTAGGCTAAGTGTTTTACTTAGCCTAAGTGGATTTTCGAGCACTTAGCCTAAGTGAAAATTTGTGAGGGACAAATCACGCTACCCCAGATGTACAGATGCAGTCAGCGACGCAGTGACGACGATGGTTAAACTTAAAATGACCAGAACTGAAGATGTCAAAATGACTGTGTTGCGTATCGTGTAACGTAGCTTTTAGAAACTGGAACATTCCATTCATTGCCCTGCCACTGCCAGGTCAACTAATGTAACTCATGATCAATTCGGAATTCGGAAAGTACTAGAGTGCAATACAAACTGCTAAGTACAAGTACCAATTAATACATTGCATGCCACTGCCAGTAGCTGCCAGTTTCCTTCGGAAACTTTTAGTAGTTAAAGAGTAAACGATCCTTCGAATCGGTACTCAGCTCAGTTGAAGTTTTAAAAGCCGTCGTTCTCTCCTTCTTGGAACGAATTAACAACAGGTGACCACGCAACAATCTGGCACAGCAGCTGACGGAGAACTGCAGCGGAACTGGTACCGGTACCTGGTAACAATGCGAAGCGCTTTGTACCAGTACCTTTACTGTACCTTCATCGAATCTCCCTCCGAATCAATGAAGCTGATCAATCCAGAAGCGCTCTTGAATCTTGAAGGGCCTGGGAAGAAAATTACTTATCTGCCATGCATTGTCCCAGATCATGTCACGTTGTACAGGTACTTACAAAGTAGCTTTCTAGATCTAAGGCACCACTTTCCGCAGCTGCTATGACCCAGTACACCCAAGCAATGACCGTGTATCTTCGTAAGTACAATGGAGCTTCTCATGAAAACCTGGAACTGTGCCTGCATCTGCAACGAAGTAAGCCATGCATGGCTACTAATACTGGTACCACATACGCCACTGAGCTCGCCACTGCCAGGCCTTGAAACCAAACTCAAGCAACTGAAAGAGAGCCACACTAAAACCTCTCCAAAGAAAACGTCAGAAAAACCAACCCAAGCAAGCAAAACAAAAGAGGAGGACCAAGATGGGGCAAGCAATTGGTTCGCTCAAGGACGAGGCCTTCGTCCAAGATTACGCCAACTTTCCCTCCATTGCTGACTACGAAGACGATGCTTCGTCTGATGATGAACCGTCCTTGGCACCCTCGTTCCAATCATGCTTCTCGGATGAGCTGACGAGGCACTTGAAGAAGCAGATATGGAGAAGACAAGTTGCACCGGAGCCTCCCGAGGGTGGTTCTACATATACAACTACACATCGGGATGCACCTGGTCGTGCACCATCCGGGGATTATGTAGACGATGACTGGGATGATGAAGAAGCCCTCCCCATTGGGACCATTGCCGCTAGGTACGTACCATTGCATCACACCCTGATCCTGCTGGAATCACTGGATTCGCTCACTCACTCATTATCATGTCCGTCGGGCGGTCTGCTTGTCCATCTTTCTCCACAGTCGTTGTCCCGAAGCAGCTCCAGCTCCAGTAGCTGCAGGCCAACCCATCCTCCTCCTTGAAGACACCCAATCGACAACAGCTGTAGGGCAACCAATCCTCCATAAAGACACTGAATCTACAGCACCTTCGGCCGCTGCTGCTGCTGTGAGCCATAGCGGTGATTGGACGCTTGCTCACGGAGAAGTCATGGCGTTATTGGGCGAGATAAAGAAGTCATTGAGGGATAGCACATCTCTTACTATTAATAGAACCGATTCTCAGGAAAGTGGCGATACGAGCAAGGTGGATGAGTTTCCGACATGGAGCATGGATCACGAAGTTCAAGTGAACAAGATGAAAGTTTATCCCGACAACGCTAAGCTTGGTGGTGGCCGCAGAAGCTTTCTCAATAAGACGTACGTTTCAGTTTCATGCTCTATCCTAAGCAACAGTCCCAAGTTTGTTCCTTACCTGTTCTAAACTTTGCCTTCGTACCTACCAGCCGCAGTGTGAAGAGCAAGAAGTCGTCAAAGTTGAAGTCTATCTTCAAGAAAGACAGGAATATGAACGATCAAAGCATCCCCACCTTTGACGCCAACAAGAAGAAGAACAGACAGCTTCGCTGGAACCTCTTGTGGGCTCTAGGGGTCTTTGGTACGATCTTGGGACTTGGATTTGCCCCACTTTGGATGGACAAGGTCTGGGGATGCCAACAGAGTTGGATCTTTACCAGTACCATCTTCACCATCATGGACCTTGTCTTTTTGGTATCGGCCATCCTGGCATGGCCGAATCTCTACGCGGAAGTGATCGAGTTCTTTCACACGAACAGTCAGCATCGATACCTTCAAACGTCGGAACTGACTCCATCTGGACAACACATCAACAAGAACGCAATGGAAGAAGAATTGAACCCCGATACTGGTGTGCCCACCATTACCCATCTCGTCGTCATGACAGGATACAAGGAACCGGTCGATCTTATTGCTGCAACACTGGACACCGTCGCGGCACAAACCAGGGCCAAAAGTATTATCATGGTGATTGGGTGGGAGGAACGTACACCCGATTACGAATCCAAGATGGAATTCTTCCACAACCGTTACGGCCACAGTTTCTTCCGACTCATTCAAACAGTGCACCCTTATGGCCTCAAGGGTGAAATTGCTGGAACCTGTAGCAACGCGAATTGGGCCGTCCGGCAATCCACCACCACAATGAGAGACGAGGGCATGCCTCTTGATCCCGACACGACTCTACTTACCAAGCTTGACACCGACACCATGTTCCTTCCGACACACTTTGACGTTCTCCAACGAGAGTTTATGAAGCTTCCCAAGCATGAACGTCTCGATCGAATGTACCAGTCTGTCCTGTCCTTCAACTTGGGCCTTGACGAACGTTGGTTCTTTACACGCGTCACGGGTATTCTTCGAACCTTTTTCATTTTGGGCTTTTTGGTCCCTTACAACATCAGTGCTATGTCCATCTATTCCATGAGTCTGTCACTGGCACGACGAGGCAACTATTGGCTTCCGCACTATCAAATGGAGGACGTGATTCAGAATCTCAACCTGATGAGTTCGCTTGGCAAACGTGTCAAGATCAATCTGATCCCTCTTCCTACCATCAGTGGCCCCACCAGCGGCGAAACATTTCGCAAAGAGCTCTTCGAGTGGCGTTGGCAGGCACGGCGTTGGACTGTAGGCAGCGCCGAAGTATACCACTATTACGTTGTCAAGTTTCTCAAGGGCAAATTGGGTTTTTGGCGGGGACTCGAGTACGGCTTTTGTTACGTCTTGTACTACGGTGCTATCCTTTGTGTGATTGGATTGTATCAGTTCTGCGCCACGATTGCAGTGTCATTTGATACTTGCAACCAGGACCGAACATCGTTCTTGTGGCCCATTCTCATGGTTCTCAAGTACACAGTTGTGTTTGGGACAGCATTTCTGGCCGACTATATTCACCGCAAAATCATTGGTGTCGAGGAGAAGGCATTACAAGGTCTATGGGGATGGATCCGTTCGATTTTCCATTGGCTGAGTGCGCCCCTCGTTCTTCTCGCGTACAACATTGTGGAGGCAGTGGCCATTATCGAGCTGAGCTACTATGGTCGCGATATTTGTGGTCATGATGCATCTGACAAGGGTGCACTTGTCGGTGGCGGTGGTAGTGACAGTCAGAAGCAAGCTGAAAGCAAAACGGAGGAACTAGAGGTTGACTGTGCAAGAAAGCGTTCAGGTGAATTGAACGAGACTCATGCTGAGGGTGAGTCTGGCATGCCTGCTTTGGTGGCCATGCAGAAACCAGGCCAGTGACACTGTTGCATTGATGGCGGTCAAGAATCAACCTTGGCGTGCATGACGGCACACGTAGAGACGCCCCGAGCGCACAATATTAACAAACTAGTTTTGATGTAATTTTATGTTCTAATGAAGGGATGGATTCCGACTTTTGCAACCTCGTTTTAGCTCAACATTAGGAATGGAGGGAGGGGTAACAAGGAGCCAGGGAGACAGGGACATGGAAAGAAGATTAGGCATATCGGAAGAGTGCTAGAGCACCACCATCGCCCCACCAAGGGGCCCTCGTAGCAGACGCAGTCGAATAGGATTGCTCTAGGATTCCTTGGCCAGAGCAAAAACAAAAGAAGCAAGCTTGCTAGTACAAGCACCAGACCACTTGCTGGATAGCAGGGCGCAGCAAGTCAGATGGTCTTTCACTTGTGTTCGTCCAGGCTTTGACCTGGGTGGAGGTCTGGGTGTTAGACTAGGCTAGGGTTCCACTGTTGGACCTTGAGTTTGCCTTGAAAGATTAGGAAGATGGTTTTGATATGGGACTTGCCTGCAAGTTGGGAACTGACTGGCCCAACCAAAAGTAAAAGTCCAAACATTGTCCCGTTACAGGCCAATTATTGGTCAATTAACTCATTAAAGTGCCCAATCATAGATTTTTATTGGACACTTAGCCAATATATGGCCAATTGGTCTGTTTTACCTATACATGTATTAATAGGCCAATCAGTAGCCAATTACTGGTCAATCAAAATTCCATAGGGACAATCGTAGGCCAATCAAAGGCCAATCGTAGGCCAATCCGTTCTGCAGGCTTAGAAAAGAGGCCAACAACTGCGCAACTTGCCAGGTGCACCGATATCGGTACCGTAGTGCTCGTGAAGGTCATGGTGATTTGTGAGGTGTAAGTCACATACGGGTAGACCCTGGGTGCTCACCCAGAATTGGAACCAGGCGTCAATCGTCATGTTGGTCCAACCATTGAACCATTAGCACAGGGTAACAAAATGCATGTGTGGGTTCTGGTATTGGGGTCTTCCCGTCCCTGCCACAGCAAATGACCATGCTTGCCTTCCTACCGGTACCAACATCACCACTCCCTATGGTACCTGGTAGCAAACTTGTGGTTCAACATTTGAAAAGAGAATATGACAACATAAAGTTTCATCTAGCATTGAAGAGATTTTGAATCAAAAAGATTATGGCCTCAAGTTCGTCAAATCATCTGTCTATTCATACAACCAGTCATGAGAGTGAGATTCCCAGTCCAAAAGCTCGGACTCCTCGAACCACAGAGCCAGTTCCTTATTGGCATTCTCAACGGAGTCACTGCCATGGCAAATATTCCTTTTAGATATTGAAGCGATTTGGTGGGAGATGGCAATTGAAATGAATGAACGAATGTATGAGAGAATTGTCAAGACTCTAACGTACAAGTTGCCCAGGACAATCCATCCTGAAGCATGAAACTCTGCAACAAAAGATGTCAAACTGTCCAGTTTTGGCTACCTACCTTCCAACCTCAATGCAGAAATCACCACGAATAGTTCCAGGGGCAGATTCAAGGGGATTGGTGGCACCAAGCATCTTTCGTCCAGTGGAAACTAAGGAAATGGATCGGATCACGGTTGGTTGGTTGGATAGTTGGTTGGTTGGATAGATGGTTGGCAAAGTCACAAAAAAGAAAGCAACGGATGTGAGAACAGAAATCCAGGAGCGAAAAGGACGCATGGTAGCTTTGTCAGCGTCTTGCGAAAAAACTCACCGGCCTCCTTTCCTTCCCAGCACATGGAGACGACAGGTCCACTCAATAGGTATTCCCTGAGTTTTGGGAAGAATGGCTTCTCGACCAAATCGCAGTAATGTTCATCCAGAAGTTCAGGTGTGGCCATTCGAGTCTTCATGGCAACCATCACATATCCCTTTTGTTCAAATCTGGAAATGATGTTTCCCACAATTCCTCTTTGGACGCCATCGGGTTTGACCTGCAGAATGCATAAAAGATGGAAGGAAAGCAATTTCATTTTGAGACCAGTTTCAAACAGAGAGGACCACGGCAAATTCTCGAGGAAGGAATGCATGAATAAACTTACCATGATGTAGGTTCGTTCCATGGCCATGGAGAGCTGACTATCGGATCGAGGTGCTGCCAGAGCATTCTTGGAGAGAAAACTAGACTGAGCAGTGAAGGAAAGAGATGAGGCGGTCAAAGCCGCCAAGATGAGGCCAACAAAGGATTTCATGGTGGATTTTAGCACAAGACTACTAGCTAACAAAGTTAGAAGAGGAAGATTATAGTCCGTAAGAAAATGGAATGTGAGATTGTCAATGGATGATAATGAATCGAATCAGCCACTGATGGTTTGACAACCAAGGCTCCGAGGTTGTTTGGGTTGAATCTTTGCCGTTGCTCTCGCTCGAGTTGAGTTGATGCCAATGACTAGGTACGTCAGTCACGAGAATCTTTGGGTCCCATGTGGGTCCGGTTCAACCAAGTCTTACTTGGGCTCATATCCTGTTCTTCTGCCAAAGAGTTTTGGAGGGAGGAGGCCAGAGGCGGAATGAGCTGAGCTGGACCATGGGAAAGCACAACACAACCATCTTCGATTGTCCTCGGTTCGTGGGCTTTTTTCTGTTGAGCCTCTGATAAGTCACCCTATTAGCCCAAGCTATACAAATCCTTGACCGTCACTATGGCTGAAGATGCAGCAGCATTCTTTGCGAAGAAGAAGAAAGGCAAGAAGAAGGCTTTCAAGTTCAACGCCAACAATATCGATGCTTCTACCGTAACCCAAACTGTGCATGTGTAAGTCGGCGTAACTCTTGGTACCGTAATCGCTGGCTAGCCGGCACTCTGACCAATCTGTTATTTTCTGATGCCTTTATCTTATAGCGACGCCCCGGCACTGTCGACAGATCAAGAGTCTGGAATTGCCGGTTTGTCCATTTCTGCCGCTCCTGTCCAATCGGAAGCCGTTGAGAATGATAAGGGCTCTGGAGAGCAATGGGATGACGAAGCATTGGCTGCAACCCTGACGCGTAAGACAGCCGCGGCTGCTCCTGGAGCTGGAACCATGTCAGAACTTATGGATATGAAGGCGTTCGATCCAAAGAGAAATGAGCAAGACAACATTGCGGAGAAATTGAGGGTAGAAGAAAACAAAGCCAAACTGGCGGCAGCACGAGAAGGAATGGAACGAGAGGCAGCTCGCCTCAAGGAAGAACAAGAAAAGAAGACTCAAGCCACTACAGCTCCTCGATTTGCGGCTGCCGCTGGCGGAAAGTGGGTTCCTCCTCATGCCAGGGGTGGAGGTGCCTCGCGATTGATGGGACCAATGGGTTCACATAAGGTAGACACTCAGGATGAAAACTTATTCCCAGATCTGGCCGCAGCTGACGCCATTATTGAGAAACAACAGAAACAACATACGGCCTATAAGGTGGTCAAAAAGACGCCCGTGGGAGGAGGAGCATCTTGGGCTTCAAAGCCAAAGATCCAAAAGCAGCAGCCGTCCTCTCCTCCCAAACCAGTCGAACCGCCTAAAAAGGTGGAGCCAGCACCGGCCCCTGCTCCCCCGCCAGCTCCTGCACCCGCCAAATCACCTGAAAAACCAAAACCAGCCGCAACGGAAGCCGCAACAACCACCCCTGCTAAGAAACCTCTGGGAAAGAAGAAAAAGAAAAAGGATCTTTCCACATTTAAAGGTTAAATGCATGCTGCTGTATGGTACCGTACATGACAATGTAGAGCCAAACCCAGTTAGCATATGCCAACCACTTGCCGCGCATGATTGCTCCCATGGCCCTTTGAAACCCCGTGAAGAAGGCGTTGCTTCAGCAGAAAAAACCTCAAGCATTTACATGTATGTAGCAGATACGCTTGTGCAATGAGAGACACCGCTATAGATACATAGATACCGTATGGTTGGAACTGAAAGGACATCCGTGCAATGTTCTAGCGTCTTTCAGGATAACCTGGTTTCTTTCATAAAACGCGTCAATAGAAAGTCGGTTTTACTATGCCCTTGGTTCGTTGCAAGTGACACTGGGTTTTTCATCCAGTACAATGCATGCCATCATACCAACCCCTTTTGGTGGCTGATGATGAGTCAATGTCATCACCCAACTCAGGAAAGTGATTGAATCCAGGGTTGGGGTTGCGGTTCCATTGCTGCTGCTTCGATCCTTTCTAACCATAGGTGTAGAGCACTGTGTTGATCATGGTATGTGGTATGTGGTATGTGGATGGCACATCCAATGCAGACCAAGCATTGAATTCCACAACTACTGTAGCTACTAGCCGGACTTTACAGGATCCAGATAGTAATGATCGTCATATTCGAATGGAATAAATGCCCCGTCTGGGGCATCTAACCACTTGCCACCCTCTTGCATCACTTTGTGTACGTGCAGCCACTTTTCGTCTTCCGCTTCGATTGTCACTCCTCGAAGAGTTGCATTGTCCTTCGGCCAGTTATAGCCGCCGGTGAGCTGTACTTGCTTGGGAGTGCGTGGGTCTTCTCGCCAGAACATTCCTGATTCGATTCGATTCGATTCGTTAGTTGGAGTAAGATGGATACGGATAAAACAATGTTAGGTGGCATTTTCAAGGCAATGTTAGTACACTTTCTCTTCCCCTTCCGTACCCGAACATCCTGGTCGTCGCTTCTTCAGCATAAATTCAGCCACATTTTGATCTTGTGGAGTGTTTTCCGCTGTTGTTGTGGCAGTAATCGAAGCAGCTTTTTCGTTGCTCGCCGTAGCGGCGGCTGGATCAGCTGAAGAAATGCAGGCTCCCATTATCTTGCTGTGTTTAGTGTGTGTGTCGATTGCAGCCCTCTTGAAAGTTTTTTATGGCACAATGTACTTTGTCGCTCTTTGACCATGGAATTCAAGCGGAAGCTTGCTCAGGCTCATTTTTTTGGTCTTTCTCGTCTTGGCATCAAACAGCTTGAACTGCCAGATAATCAGAGTTTTTTCCTTTTTCCAAAATAAAAATAATGCGTGAATCATCAATTTTCTATTTTTACAACATTTGCATTCTGACAGCTCTGCTGTATTCAATTTGAGTTCCAAAATGCAAAGCCTCGATCTGCCTTGCTCCACTTGTAGCTCTGTCCATTTTGATAACTGATGGCCATTATAATAGTCTATGTTCTACAAGATGACACCTTTGATTGTTCTACAGATACTTTTCCTGGCTCTGATAGCTGTTCCTTGCAGAGCTTTCGCCTTCTTGCATAATGGAAGCCCTGAAGTGACAAGACGGAGGAGTACATCTACCCATCCGCTTTTCATGAGCACCAATTTCAATTTGGGAGGTGGCAGCAAGGGCTTTCGCAAGAAGAAACTGAAGCCGTTTGTAAGATACCTGGAAGTAGAATGCTGGAAACGAGCCGAACTTCGAGAATTGGAACCCGTTTTTCAAGCTGTGGCGGAAGCTTGCAAGCAAATCAGTCGGATTGTTCAAAGAGCCAAGACAGATGATCTTTACGGGGATGCTCTTGGTGCTGATGGAGCTCCCTTGGATGGGACTAATATACAGGGAGAAGTACAGCAGAAACTTGACGTTATCTGCAATACCTACATGCTACGTGCTTTTTGTGGGTGCAGCAAGGCCATCCACTCGGTCGCATCGGAAGAAGAGGATGAACCCCGTTGCTGTGCGGATATCATGGTATGGAATCCATTAGAAGGAGCAGAGTAGTGTGGGAAGCTTAACGATTTCTCAATTCACCTTTCTTGGCTGGTTTTGTTGTTTGATTTGCAACCCATAGAGTGACTCGGCCTTTGCTGTTGGGGACTACGTTGCTGGTAAGTGGTTAGGTTTGACATTTGTCATTGCTGTTCCTTACCGTGTTTGTTTCCTAACCTTGTGCACGCAATCATCTTTGAAAATCAGTCTTTGATCCTCTAGGTACATTATATCAATGTGGTCAGCAATCCATCTGCGTGCCCGGTTATGTCGCTCTCATTTGTGGATGACTTGTGTTCCAAACAGATGGATCCAAGAATATTGAAGCCTCCTTGCCAGTTGGAAGCATCTTTGGTGTGTACAGGTAAGCAAAGCCTGCAAGATGACAGCGATATCCAGTTTGTACCCTGGCAGACGAATTCCAACTGAATCTTTTGTGCTGTGTTGCCTTTCAGGGCACAACCAGGCGTTCCCATTGACGGTGCCAAGAGTTTCCTTCAAACAGGTGGAAATCTTGTTGCAGCCGGCTACTGTCTCTTCTCGTAAGTGAAAGGTGCTCAACCAGTAGGACTACGCAGAGCAACCCTGCCCATTCAACCTGTGCAATTCCTATATAGTGCTACGACCGTCTTGGTAATAACTTTAGGGTCTGGGGTTGATGGCTTTACGCTGGATCCTGATGTTGGACAGTTTCTACACACCCATGAAGACATTAGAATTCCTGCATCAGGGCCAATCTACAGTTTTAATGAGGCAAACTTTCGGGACTTTGAAGATCCCGTCAAGCGCTATCTTGCTGCGTTGAAGGAGGGATCCAGCTCGGTTGGGATGAGGTACGTGCTACATTCAGTTCAGATCTCATTGCTCAGCCAGCCTTGAGAATTGAACCTCACCTACACTTGCACCCAGATCGAATGCCCGCTATGTTGGGGCTTTGGTGGCTGACGTTCACAATATTCTCATCAATGGAGGTATCTATGGGTATCCTGCCACCTTCTCTAATCCCAGTGGCAAGCTAAGACTGCTCTATGAGTCGGCACCAATAGCTATGATTATGGAAAACGCTGGTGGTGCTGGGTCAACAGGAAAGGGACGCATCTTAGATGTGAAACCGACCGAGATTCACGAAAGAGTCCCCACCTATCTTGGTAGCGTCGAGAACGTTTTTGAGCTTGATCAGTTTATGTCTTATTACGGTGACGGAGATGAAGAAAGCGAGGAAACCAGCTAAATTGTACTCTATATTCTAGGTCGCTGTTGGAAATACTGGGAGAGGCCCACATCTTGTCGTGGCTTTGGAAACATGGTGATCGCATGAGGCCAACTCGGATCCCGCTTATTGTTCTAATAAATAAATGTTCCACAGTCACAATGAAATTGGCAAATCATCATAATATGTAGTCTTTCTTCAAGCCATGTCTTCAGGAACAGTGAAGCCCAGCATATCCTCCAACTCCCAACAATCAGTGCCCCCTTGGATTTCATGAGCCAACAATCGGGCTCCTGGTGGTGCTGGGTCAACAGGAAAGGGACACTTCTTACATGTGAAACCAACAGAGATTCACGAAAGAGTCCCCACGTGTCTTCGTAGTGTCAAGCGTGTTTTTGAATTAGACCAGTATGTCTTGAGGAAAGCGAGGAAACCAGTTAAATTGTACTCTATATTCTAGGTCACTGTTGCAAATACTCGGAGGAGGCATGCCCGATACTTTCTGTGGCTTTGGCTTTGGAAACATGGTGATCGTACGAGGCCAACTCGGATCCCGCTTATTGTTCTAAGAAATGTTCCACTGTCACAATGAAACTGGCAAATCATCATATGTAGTCTTTCTTCAAGCCATGTCTTCAGGAACAGTACAGCCCAGCACATCCTCCAAATCCCAACAATCAGTCCCCCCTTGGATTTCATGAGCCAACAATCGGGCTCCTTGCTCAGGATAGAACCGATGCTGTGGACTGTAGTGGCGTAGATTGCTAATGGTGCTCATGTACAGATCACAGTATCGTCGCAGGGAATGCGCAAACAGGGAAGGCTGATGACGGGCCCGGAAGATGGATCCGAAGGAATTTCCTAGCAAAGAAGTTTCCTTGTCACGCCACCTGGACACCATTTTCTCCATGCAGTCCAACATCTCATTATCTTCCTGAGTTCTTACAACTGGGCCCAGTTCTTCCTGCACCAATCTAAGAGCGTTCACAAGCAAGTCAATGCTTCTTTGGGTTTGAACAAAGGAAGTTGTAGATTCCGCGTGCATTTCAAACCCCACCTGGACAAGAAAGCCAACAAACACATCTGTCAGCATCAGCATGGTGGCACCAACGCTCCTTACAGTACTGCTGATCAACGAACCTCAGGAGCCACCGCTGCAGTGGTCCACCCAAATTCTCGTTTAGCGTCAACCAAATCTGCAAACAGCGAATCGCCAATGTAAAGTACTTGTGACGTGGACAAAGTAGTGGCTCCAGCCATTTCTGGTGAGAGCTGGGAACTCTTCGTGTTGTCCTCATTGGAGCCATTTACTACTCCCCACTTCATCAACCGAATGAGTTCTTTGAGGCAACCTTCAGTGTAAACTGCGAGACAAATGCAATCAATTTGTGAGTCGAGTCTCTCAAGATCACTCTAGAGGAATACAGGAACACCAACTGTATCTTTACCTTCGCCAGGTTCAAACTGGTCTACCTTCTTGAATTTTATTCGACCTGTGGTGCGGGACACCTCACGAAAAGGCCTGGCATCGTCGGTGTAGAATCTCGGCTTGCCCGCACTTGTGATGACTAATCATAACAACAACGAAATGGACAAAAGGGTCAGCCTTGAGAAGGGAAGCCACATCGCAACCAACACGACGCCACACAGGAATCGATCGGCTAGGTCTTACCGGCATCCCATGAATCCATCCAGTTTTCTCCCATGAAGTATCTCATCCCCGCATCGACATACCAGAAGGGCGAATTGCTGACAAAGATGAGACTCTTTCCTGCTTCCTTTAGATTGTTGAGAACCTGTTTGATATGGGGCGCTGGGAGAAAGTATTGCTCTGGGTTTTCGGCAACAATCCTGTGAAAGTCTCCCGAGATGTGCGTTTCTCGAATGGCGGACAGCACGTCCGTGGCGGCGTTCATGGGACAAAAGGGGATATCTCGATCTTTGAAGAACTGAATAGTGTCGGCAATGAGGCAGCATTCTGCCATGGAAAACAAGTCGTTGAGTGGTTTGAGTCTCTTCTTGCGTTCGGAAGGTCTCATGCCCCGTTTCCCTCTGTATTCCTGATAGATTCGAGAAGATGGAAGCTTTTCGCGGCCTTCCCAAGCCACCGATACTTTGTGGGTGTAGGACAAATGGCAGATCCATCCAGTTTCCTTGTCGACAGCTAGACCTCGAATGCTGAAAAGGGGGTCAAATTTCAATCCAACATCCAGCATTTCCGATGGGTATTGAAAGTCATGGACCAGTTTGGAGAGAGCCATTTCATAAATCAGCTCCAGAAGTTCATCCGTGTATGTGACCAGGGTATAATCGTAATCAAACCCAACCACATCAACCTTGGACATATCAACGTATGCATTCGCATATATTCTTTCGTCTTGTGGAGGTAGCGCTCGGGGGTTTGCATTGGAAGATTCAAGTTCTTCTACCGAATCTGCATGGTCTTGAAGAGCTCGAAGAACTTCTTCAGTCTTTATCAAAATCTCATTCACGCCATCGTGTGAATGTTTCGGCAAGGAAAGCATTTTTTCCTTTTTGGCTTCTTCTTCAATGGCATTGGTTGTGACCGAAGTCAGTGCTCCCGTTGGTTGATTCTCTTCATGGGGAATGCTGGTTGTCGTGGGCGCCTCATCCGAAGTCGACACGAATCTCGGAGTCCGAGGTAACAACGAGGAAAAAGAACGCAATGGTAGAGCGACAAACGAGTGGCACGCTCGACAAGTCCCTGCCAACACGACAAACGCTGTTGCAACCTTCATCTTCCCACGCAATTCTCCAGGAAGGTTGTGGAAAGAGATGCCACAGAAGAATCGAAGAATCACAGTCCAATGGTATCGATGGTACACCCGTAGTTTCCGTGATGCCAAAGCGCCTCCTTTGATCTCTACTGGCTTTTATTGGTGCTATGACTGATCTCTCCTACGATCGAATCTCTTTGTTTCTGGTGAAGATTCTCTGGCAAGTTTTGAAGTCTGTGAAGATTTAGTTTGTGCTGCCAACAGAAGAGTGAGGCTGAAACAGAATTTGAGAATTTCTTTTGGGTGCTGACGTTGTTTTATCTCGATTCGATTCGATTGAATCGAATCGAATCGATTTCACTTGCCTTTCGTGTCGGGGAGTCACCAAATGGAGCTACCTACCTCCAATTGGTGCTTCCACAAAAATGGCCACAACTCCATCAATTTTTGGCCGATTAAGCTCATCTTCGAACCATAACGTCGTCTTAATATAGTCTTTAAATTGATGACTACAGCATGTCTCCACTACATGCAATGAGATAGCCAGAGGAAGCTGGGACAAGGGGCAACATGACGGCCATGGCACTGAAATGGAGGTATCACCATTTGGTTACATGCCAGGAAATGGCCACTCTGGCCCCTCCAAATAGTTGAGTGCCCCTACAATATGCTGCCAAAGTGTTCCGTGACCTGTGTGGGCAGTCGGAGGTTGGTGAGTGGCTCCATGCCAAGGGGAGGAAGCGACGAGCATGGAGATACCTCCAAAAGCAACGTACCTACTCTACTTCCTCTTCTCCGGCATCTTCGCAGCAGGAATCATCCAAAGCTGCCAACAGGTGGTCCCTGAAAGAAAAACATCCATTCAGTTTGTCAACAGACTCGCCAACCTCCACAACGATCTGAAGGAACTGCAGGCCTTCATCGTTGTCGTTGAAGTCAATCCGGAAGAGATAGTGTTTGACTTGTCGCTTTTGGCTCAATCCTTGCTTGTGAAGGGACTTGTAGACACAGCCAATGGGAAGGAACAATGATGCATCAAATGCTTCTCCTTTCATTGGCATGTGTGCTTCCTTCACATGAGAGAAGCCTGTCACGTAGAGCCGGTGGAGGTTTGTCGACTCACACCGCTCCAAATAGACTATGCCTTGTATGTGATCTCCGTCAGGACGGAAGAACTGTTTGAATCGAAGAGACACACCAGTGAGATGACCAACCAGAGCTCCATCGATGCTTTGGACGAGTCTCCATGCTTGTGTGTCGCTCACTGGAGGCTCACTGGGTTTTGGTGGAGGGGAGGCAATGGTGTTAACAGCCTTCTCGATCACAAGGTTCTTGTCGCGACAGTAGGAAAGAGCAACATCCTTCAAGTAATCCTTCGCGAACACATCCAACACGTAGCCAAGTCCAACAAAGCAGAGCCTTGCGAAGAAGAGAAGAGTAACACCAGCAGCGGCCATGAAGCTGCAACATGGTGGTGCGACCCAGCCAACAGCAAGAACAGCAACAGATACAGCATCAAACGATGACATGGCTTCAAATTCCAGAGATAACAAACAAAGGGAGTGAGCTAAAGGAGACGACAGACTCTTGTTGGATATGGCGCGCTCTGGTCAACTTACTCTCTCTCTCTCTCTTTCGCAGAATTGAATGGGCTCGAGAAGCTTTTTGATGACATCCAAATCAAATATTCCTTCACAAGAAAAACTTGAGAAAATTCCCCCGCCAATGAAAGCAACGGTAGGCGTGGCCAAACTCAACCCAACAACAGTCAATCGATCCCACATTTCTCCATTATCTGCAGCAGTGCAATCATGTCGCTCCGAGTCATCGATTCTACCAATGTCATTGTCTGCTTTGAAGACAACGGCGTTCAGTCCTATTTCCAGCTCAACGCGAAGGTCCACGATGGGGGCTTTCAGTTTTCTCTTGTGCAAGTCGATTTCCATGAGGTTGGAGAATCCATTCCTGTGACCATCCTTCCCCGCATGAACATCCTTCCCCGCCAGGCTGCTGCTCCGGGTCGCAACCAGGCTGCTGCTCCTACTGCGGCGACAGCTCCGACTGCGGCGACAGCTCAAACCAGTGGTAACACCGTGGACTTGAACACGTCCAGTGAGAGCAACAACTCCTCAAGTATCGAGTCGAGGGATTTGCTAGCAGAGGATGAGGAGTCTTCTGTCTCCAGTGAATCCTCCGAAGAAGTGGTGATTCCAGCTGCCACCACGACGGCTCGTGCTGCGGCCAATACTCGTGCCACGGCCAATACTCGTGCCACGGCCAATACTCGTGCCACCAACAATCCTCCTGCCCGCAACAACCGTCGTACCATCCGCCGACGCCGCCCCAGTGCTCCCGAGCCTGACATGCAGGATGATGGAAAGCTTGAAACATTCCCATGCTCCCAAGATTTCTATGCCGAATATGACTGAAGCCGTCGAAAGCCCGTCGAAAGCATCGGAGGTATTTCCGTAGGATTTGAATGAACAAGAAAAGACAGGAGAAGCATAGTTAGTAGCAATAACCATATAACAACATATTGATTGGAACTGCCATTGTCATCGTTTACTCACCATCACCAGGTCGTTTTCGATTAGTTGGAGTCTTCCACGATTTCGTTTTCGCTGCCACAATCAATCAATCAATCCGTCAACACATTTTGGTAGCCAAGCAACCAACACCATGAACGACCGAAATCGTCGCCGTCGCCGTCGAACAACGGCTTGGCACAAGAGACGCCGCAGGTACATTCAATGGATGAAAGCTGGCCGCCATCGACAAGGTCCTTTCAACGGCAGATTGCCTCCAGCACTGGTACCTCCTCCACTACTCCAACGACGGGCCCACGCCCAGCTCCAGTTTGATCCCATGCCGGAGTTCATGGGAGGGGACGGCATTGGACTCTATGAAGGCTGGAAGACTGTCCAGAAGGTTGTTGTGACTGATGGAGGTCCGCCACTTCCAAGGACTTGGGTTTTCCTTTCCTTTCCCGCTCCACTGCCTGCGTTCCTCCAGAACCGCCAGTTCAAGCTCTGGCCCTCCCTCTTTCCAGCCAGATGGGTTGACAAATACTTGGCAGGTGGCCAGTACTGTGTCTCATGTGACAAGTTGATCCCACCTCGAATTCACTATGGAAACTTTGTTGACGACTGGGATGAACATGAGGAAGAGTTCGATGCGACTCTTGCTCCTGCACCCCCTCAACCTCCTCGGAATGGAGTATCAATGGTTGATCTTGAAGCAGGACCAGAGGAGGAGGTGGCGAGCCGACAACTTGTTGCTTTGAGTGGTGGTCATTATCAGTTGCCTCCAATTCAAGGCCCCCAGCTGAGTAAGCGTTCGAGTGAGGAGTATGAGGCTGTTGTGGGTTTGCTTGCTTTTGGTGGAAAGAGTGCATGAGGCGAGTGCATGGTGAGGAACACTGAGGAGGATCAAGAATCGAAAAAGATATGAAGCCAGCAACCAGCAACATCATCGAAATCAAACAAAATCCAACAGAGTCCAACAGAATCCGGTCTATTAACCCAAATGATTGACAACAATACACACCTATTCACTGGTCGCCAAGTGCCATGGTCTATAGAAATCCTGGGGAAACTGCAATTCGTCTCTGTGGCCATCCGAGGCTCCGCAGGCCTTTTCAGCACACTCCAACTCGCCCTCTCTAAGGCGAATGGAAACAGCATCCGCATCACATCGGCTCTCCGTCATCATATTGATGCCTTCGCTAACCTGGCTGCCAGTCTCTGCCACAGGCCCACACACCTCGCGGAGATTGTCCCCCAGGACCCGTCCTACTTTGGGGCCACGGACGCCGCCAAGGCCAGTATGGGCAGTGCCTACTTCGACTCCACCGGACAAGGTTACCTCTGGCGCGAGCCCTTCCCAGCGGACATCCAACAAGACCTGGTCTCAGCTGCAAACCTTTCCGGATCCATCACCAGCCAACAGCGATCTCGAGCATGCTGGCATCCTGGCTCAGCAAGCCCTTCTCGCCAACCATCACGACGTCCGCTACGCGACTCTCTACACTCTGTCTGACAACACCCCGGCGGTCTCTCGTGTCGCGGCCAAAGGGGGCCGTATCCGCAGACGGGCCCGCCACCTTCCTCCTGCAACTATGCCTGTCACCACCAACGGAAACACCGATATTGCCCTCTCGCGTCCTACATCCCAGGACCAGCGAACGTCATGGCTGACGACACCTCTCGCCTATAACATCTCACCCTGCCTGAACTTCTGTCCCACTTTGAGCAGAACTATCCGCAGCAGCTACCCTAGAAGGTGTTGACGCTGCCACCCGACGTCATTTCCAATCTACTCTCCGCGCTTCGCTGCAAGTCGCCTCCAAAAGGATCGTCTCCAAGACCGCCCAGGCCCGAAACTGAACCTTCGGCCGTTGGTGTGCCTTCTGCGACCTCCACAACGTCCACGAAACCCTCCGTGATATCTCTGAGCCCGAGGTCCGTATCTGCTACCTCCTCACCTTCGCCCACAACTACCGCGTGTCGAACTCTGTCTGAGCTGACACTGTGGTCAAATGTGGTCAAAGCCCTTCACGCCGTCGGCGAGGGGATCTCCAACCTGGGTCAGCCTCGATAAAATGTGGGTTGGATCCATGGGATCAACGTGGTGAGTGTGAGAACAAACTGTCTGTCTTATGTTACTGGTACCCACATGGTATGTGGAACAAGCAAAGATATAGAGAACCTTGGTTGATACTGGTAAGACATAGGCCATACATATGGGACCAGGGAAGCCCCATATGGCCCCATATGAAGGTTTTGACCACTGTATCACCCCAGATGGCCATGAGGCGAGCATCTACTCAATCAGGTGACCTCAGGAGGATCCAAGAGCCTCAGTGTGGCTCAGAGTGATGATTCCTGCATAACACCCAATTATTTGGATGCATGCTTTTGCTCATAGTCCTAAAATTAAATTGTTGATATTGATACCATCTAGACCTGAAGCTCCCTTGTCCTTTGCAGTAGATACCCATCCTGTTGAGGCTGAGCAGTAGG